ATAATCTCACCAGATTCTTTCAGATATTCCACGTGTGGAGTGTGTGATGTTTAATGCCAAATTCATTTATTTCAATACATTTGATTTTACATAGGATTTTTGATTAAGCAGAATGATACATAAAATGCTGAAACCTGTGGTGGTACAACTGCTCCCCTCACAGCCCTGCTCCCTCAGGCTGCACTATGACCTTAGAAATGCTTGTTAGGCCTTGATGAACAGCTCCTGGGCTTAGCTCCTCTTGAGTTTATTGGAAACATTGTCTGCTCCCAGGAACTTCTGCTGTCTAATGAGCGCCAGATTTTTAACAAACAGCCTTGGAAACTTATTTTTCTTGCCTGAATAACAACCCAAGTGGAACAGCACTTTTGTTATTGAACTTTCAAAGAAAGTTACCAACTCAAATTTTGTTCAGGATGGAAAATTTCTAAGGTCAACTCTCTTGCTGCCCTGTAAACAGCAGTCCCAAGTGAGATCCTTTGAGCTCTCCTGGACCACAGCAGGCTGCAACCAGCATTTCCCTCTGAGTGGGACACCTCTTGAGGTTGTGAACTCCCAAGTTTGCTGTACTCAGGGTACTTCACTGAACTCAAGCTGAATTTTTCACAGGTATTCCTTCTGTGTACTCCTTAGGTCTACGTGCATGCCAGTGTAAATATGCTACAGCAAATGTGTTATGAATGCTGCTCTCTTAATATTCTTAAGTATATTAGATTCCTAAGTAAGTTAGGCCTATAAGCGGGTTACTGTTGTGCTTATAGTACATTCTAAATATTCTTTTGTTAAATTGTTTAAATTTGGCTATCAATTAAGTTCTGTTAAGTTCAAGTGCTGTTAAAATCTTTAGCCTTAAACTGTTGGTCAAGGCTGGGGTAAAGTTTGGCAAGACTGTGCACTCTGAACCTTGTGACTCGATGGGAGAAACTCCCTTATTCCTTTTTATCCTTATACTTTCCTAACCTTACCCTTTTTCCACTCCCAGACTCCACACAGATCATTTTATATTGATTTTATTTTTAGACTGATTGGTTTTAGATTTTAGTCCATTTTTTTTTCTGTGTACTGTAACCACCCAGTAAGAAGTAGAGCAAATCTTGCCAATGAACTTAGCCACACTTTCACTTTTATACTAAACCTCCTTTTGCCAACACCTTTGCTGATGACTATTTGAGCACCTAAGCCACTCATTCGTGACAAAATCACAATACAAATGTGAGGTCACACTTAGCAAAATACAGCTACTGCAACATAGATTTCAGTCACAATACCTATGTGACCTCCATTGCCCTCTCCATAATATGATCACCATCATGATGCTGGATGTCCCCAGTCACTGTGAAGAAGTATGTGGGGTGAAGCAGCTCAAGTCCATCACCCTTGTTGGAATTCTTCAGTTGGTTGTTCAGTTTTTATACTCTTGTTGGGCTGAGCCTTGTATAACCCCCCTCATGCTGTGTCCCTTACTCAAAGAACCATTCTCTTTTAGTGAGCTCAGGGAGAAATATTTACACAACAAACTGTCAATGTAATCTGTGGATCCACCCAAATGTTGACAGCTGCTTGTCTAAAACTAAGGCCACCCTCCAGTCCACTTTGTGTTGAGATACATTGGCTTTGTTTGCAACAGCTTGTGGTGAGTCACATCCTACTTTTCTCCCTGAGCTTCATGGGTGCATCACCCTTGCCCATCTCCTCTGAGCCTTTCCCCTTTGTGGAGTTTTACTGGTCAGTCATACAGGAGTACCATATACCTTTTGTCCAGAATAAAAATGTGGTAAATGTAGGAAATCGAGTTGGGCAGTATCAGTATAACAAACAAGTTTCTCTTTTGGTAGCCAGATATATCTGTGCACATCACCATGAGCATAATGAAAAAATATTACATAATTACACTGAGATTCCAATTAGATTGAGATGATTTTTTTATTTGATATAGTATTTAGCTGAAGGAGCTACGTTTTCAGTATTTGTCAGTTTAAGCACGTTTCAGGCTGAAACTGTAGGCTGTAGACTGATCAGAACATACAGTGCAGACATATTTTAGTTAGAGTACTCTCAAATAAACATCAAGTAGTGTCGTGAGCAGCAGAATTAACCAGTTTTTCTTATGCCTCTGTGTCTTGCTGGTGGATTCCGAGGTCTATAAGAAAGTGCAGCTTGCACTGACTTTACCTGTGCTTGCACATTAATACTCTTTCTTTCACATCTGGATTTTTTGGGTGTTTGCCATTTGGATCACTGGCTGTTTGTTAAGGGGTGAGACCCAAACTGAAATAAAGTAGGAGACATCAACTGTTACCCATCATACTTGATGTTCTCATAGCCATCAGATAATCCATCTTGTGCAGAGCTGACAGACAAAACAATTTATAGGAGGAAGCTAAAGTGGAGTGGACATAATGGACATAAACACAAGTGTTATATTGAATGGGATGTCAGAGAGCCTGAGAAATGAGTGATAAGCACTACGTATGTTTAAGGAGGAAGTGTCATTCTCCACAGGTGCTGTAGTAGAGTCTTGTTGCTGCTGGTTTTATTAAAACTTTCTGTTATGTCATTGAAATGGGGAGGAATTTTCTATACATGCTGCTCAGGAGTGGGGAAAGCAACAACTGCAAGTATTTGGATGAGTTTCTGTGCACAGATGTTGAAGAATCTGTCTTCTCATACGAGCACAGATTTCTGGCAGCAGCAGTTACAGGCATCACTAGTAGCAGCAGCAAAAACGTACTAAGCGAAGAATACACAGATGAATTTTTATTTGCCTCATCATCTATGTGTTATTAATTCAGCCACAGGCACAAAAAAATAGGTAATTGAAGGGTATGAAATTTTGCTGATAAATTCTGCAGAGAATGCTAAGACTGGTAGCACTATTAAAATACTATCTCCAGTTCTACTCTCTTCATTTCAAGAAAGGTGTGAGTATATAAAAGAAAATTTACAAAAGAGCTGACCTTTCCAGTGACTAATTTAAATAATCTCTGGGGACAAATTCTACCCAACATTTGGGCAGCCAGGTGCAGTGGTTGTTGTCTGAAGTCTAACCTGTGAATCTCTAACTTCTGAATGCTCCTGCATAAACCCAACTTCCTTGAAACCTGGAGACGAACCTGCCTTGCCCTCAGTCTGCCCAGAACTCCAACAGCTCTGCATTAAGTCAGTTCTGCTGACTATTATCAAAGTCAGCTTGGCCTGTCAGCTCTGGTGACTATTATCAAAGTCAGCTTGGCCTGTCTTACCTTAACTCCATGGAACTCTGAGGCAGATAACTGCAGCAGATTTGCCCAAACAGCTTATTTTCCTGAGGAGTTGCCAAAACATGTCTATTGCTCTTTCAAAAGTCTCTGAAGATCAATAAAACCACTTACTAAGTTGATGCCTTCGCATATTTTCCCTGGAATTGGCAGAGCAAAGGGTCTAAACTTGTGGCACTACATTCAGCTCTGACACCAGTCAGTATTTTTATGCAAATATTTCTAATGGATGATGGTACTGAAAAATCTTGCAGAAAGAAATTTGATATGGTGTTGTAGAAGTCACAGAAGACTCATCATTTGGCTCCCAGGGGTGGACAGGTGAGAAATCTCTTATTAATTTGCACTAATTTGTCACCGTCTTGTACACAGAGACTAGAACTGCGTGCCCAAAACAGTGTTGATTGATAGACTCCCAGATAATACCCAGGTAGTTGATTAATGTGGCTGTTTAGCCATAATCTTTAAGTGTGAAAAGCTGTGGTTGCTGTCATGGAATCACAGTAATTCTAATTATGATCCAGGGCAGAGAACCTGGTGTTGCATTCAAACAAATAATTTTGAATTGCAAAGATTCATTAGTGTTTAAAAGTCTCTTATATGGCTTTTCCAGTCTTTCCTTCTTTTCCAATACGCAAGAACAAAGCATTCTTACCTCTTGCCTAAGAAACATTTCCTTTTACAGTGATATAAAGATAGAAAGCCCAAGGACACAGGAGAATTTTTTTCCTCCCCCAGTCCTTAAGGTCTGTCAAAAGCCAGAACAGTCAGTGAACAAGCACCTACTGAGAACTGTGGCTAACTTGAAAGCCCAAGACAGGAAAAAAGAGAGTTTTGAGACTTTTTTCCTAACTTTTTTACAATCAATGTAATACCTTTTTGCTGAAGTGTGCAAGTTTGTCACCTTTCACCAAAGATTGGTCACATTTTAAACCGCAGTAAATGCTGCCATCTAATGGCACCTGATCACTGAACAGAAGCTGTCGGCTCAGTCCAGCTCTCAAAGAACAAAATAAAGAGTTTCACCTCACAAGCATCACTCTGCCTGAAACAACACAAGCCGGACAGGAGCAGGTCTTAAGCAGAGCCACCAAATATCTCTGCATCCCTCTGCCCAGTGTGGCAGCTCCCGAGTGCAAATTCCTGAGTTATCCTAAGAGGTCTGCAAACCTTCTTCATCAACCTTTTTTTTCTGGACTGCAGCTGGTTCTGGAAGTAATCATAGAATCATTAAGGCTGGAAAAGACCTCCAAGATCATCAAGTCCAACCTTTAATCAAACACCACCATGTCCACTAAGCCACAGTACTAAGTGCCACATCCACTCATTTTTGGAACATTTCCAGGGATGGTGATTCCACCAGTTCCATGGGAGCCAAAGTTCAACCATAATAAAGCCCATTCAAACCATACTGTATCAGAACTCTTAAACTCTTAGCTTTCCTGTGTCTTTATTTGTTCTGAAATTATTTTAGATTTAACAATATCTGTCATATTTAATAGTATTTAACACGGGAAATGACAGTAAAAATTAAGTAATTACCTTATTGTTCCTGCTCTTCTTGGCCTCAAAATGTTAAATCTTTTCTAATTCTTTGTAAAAAGTGAAACATTTTCGATTTTGTTGTTCTAATAGGTAGCTACTTTTGGAAAATTATATTACTGTGGTTCTACCCCTTTAAGAACAGATTATTTCTTGTAACAAATGAAACTGGATACTCCTTACAAAACAGACAGAAACATGTTAAGCATCTGAGTTCTTTATTGAAGAATCTAAACCAGTTGTATTGTATTAGTGGTTCTGAATCCACCACAATGCTTCATCTGAACAACCTAAACTGCAAAAGAAATCAGTAAAACATTAATACTCATTGTTCATATTTTCTTTTTCAGAATCAATCAAATAAATGCTTCCTCTACCTTTTATTAAATGTTGCCTCATATCACTAAGATTACTAAGTAATGTTTTCTATGACATTTAGATGATGATGAAATTTTATGTACAATGATTCTCAAGATTTTCTGGAAGCAATACCCCTTGTATAACACTCTTTGATTTTCGTAACTATGATTATGACAATTTTCATACACTGAATGATACTAAGAACAAATTATATACAAACTTTATGCACGGGCAACTGAGGATGATCTGTTAAATCCATTTAGGTGCACATATAAAGACACCTCCAAAATTCTTAAGCATAAACAAATCCACCCAAACATGCTAGGAGGAGTATGAAGGAACAAGATTCAGGATGGGAGAGGTTCCAGGCGTAGAGAAAAACATGCAGCAATGGACAGGATTTTATTATGTGGACCTTACAGTTATTATATGGACTTCATTGTTATTATGTGGTTTCATTGTATCCACACTACACAATGCACAGCCTGGTCATGCTTGGGCTTGCCACGAGTTTGCCTGCTCCCTGCTTCCCCGCTCCCCTCTCTGATAGGCTGCAGAAGCTACAGAGAGGAGACAGCCACCATTCGCCCTTTCCTTCCCCGGCTCCTCCCATGTTCCTCCCCTTTTTGCCTGTGTCCGTATCCCGATTTGTTCCCCCGTTTGCCTGTCTCATGTTCCACCCCATGTTCTAGCCCTTTCCCTGCCTGAACTGACGAAAAATCCCGTGCAGGCCTCAATAAAGCATTCCACCTGCACCCCTACCTTGTCTCCAGACCCATCCATGCTGTGTCACGGCCACATCCCCCCTTCAGACTGGGCAGAGGAGGATGGTCCCAAAACCATCAAAGTTAGAGGTTGATTATACTCGAGTGTCCTGAATGAGCTCTATTACAGAAGTGCAGTAATTAGTTCATTTTGCTACAATAAAGCCTAGTTGGAAATATTGGTTATCTCTAAAGAGATATACATTATTCTAGAGACTTGTGTGTTTATAAATCTGTCCTTATAACTGACCTTTTACAGATTTCTTCCGTAAACACATGGACTAGGACAAAACTGGCAGGTGAAAAAATTAACCCACCTACTCCACTAGTTGAGAAAAAATTCTATGGTTTGATTTTTCTCCAATATTTACGACATAGTTGTTCAGATCTTAATCATTTTAAGGAGAATTTGAAAATTTGAACAATCACAATACTTAAAGGCTGCCATCATTATTCTAAATTTAGATTATTATACTCTGGGATTCACATATTGTCTCCATCCGAAAATCAATGACTTTGCTTTAAATGTCAAAAATGCTGCAGCCTGGGGTAACCTTATGTGTCCAGCTTATTTGTGTCAGCAACAGCATCATAAAATCAAGGGAGAGATGTGGAAGAAACAGACCGTGATTTATGTATCTTCCTGCCACTACTTTCATTAAGCATTGATAAAATAAGCTTTTGCTTCTCCCGCATTTCTTCTCCAAAGACAGCACTGGTCTGTCTGTGACGGCATAAGAAAGATGTACTTTTGAAAGAACGCTGTATCAAATACCTCCTGAAGGCCCTTTGGATAATAACTGCTGATACCTCCTCTTGTTTTCTCTTAAGAGTGGAAGAAACTGGCTTGTCAAAAATTTTAGATGGACTGTCAATCACAATTTTTTCCTCCATGAATAATTCAAAACTATCTAAATCTCCAAATTCTCCCAAGACCCTTTTAGTGAAAGCACGCAAGATATCCAAGTGGTGGATCTTATCTCCACTCACTAGAGGGAGGTCCATGGATATGAGCTGGATGTTATTGGGCTTTGGAATGCGCAAGGGTTCTGCCAGAGCATCTGCAAAGTCTGAAAGAGCAGAATAGTCAATAAACTGTGTTGCCAGAGGATCAAATTTTCCCCAGGTCTCATAAAACATATCAAAGTCATCTTCACAAAGAGGATCTGTGCTTTCTTCAGTGGCAACATTGAAGTTCTCTAAAATGACAGCTATGTACATATTTACAACAATGAGAAAAGATATAATGACATAGCTTACAAAATATAAAATACCAAATGCTCTATTTGTGCAATTAATTTTATCTTTCTCTTTTAAAACTAAGTTGGGAGCACATGTACCAGATTCACTTAACAAAGGGGCCAAAAGAGTATCCCAGCCAGCTGATGTTGTAATTTGGATGAGACAGAGAATGCTACCAGAAAAGGTTTGAAAGTTGAAAATGTTATCAATCCCACCTTCCCAGGGAAGACAGGCAAAGTTTGCCATGCCCACAATGGCATAAATAAATGTAATTAGGAAAAGCAAAAGGCCAACGTTGACCAGTGCAGGAAGAGACATCAATAATGCAAAGAGAAGGGTTCGAATTCCTCTCGCTTTTCGAACCAATCTCAGGATTCGGCCAATTCGCACCAAACGAATAGTTCTCAAAAGTGTAGGAGAGATGAATTTTTGAAAGGCTTCAGAAACTCCAATACCTTTGAAGGGAGAAAGAAAACAAAATGTTGTCAAGCCATATTAGTCAAATTGTTGTCTGCTTTGTTATATTCTGTGCTTTAGGTGTCAGAAGTAACACTGACCATATTACACCACTTTCCACACAAACATCATCAATACTGAAACTGCTTACAAAACAGCTTAGGAAAAGAAAGACAAATCATACTATATTTCAATATTAGAGAGATATCAAGATTAGGCACAGTTTGAAAACTGCATCCTCCCAGATTTCTCTAATTCAGGGCTGGTGAAGTTACACATTCATTGCTCAAGTACTTAAAAATGCTTTTAGCTCCATTCAGCTCCTGTACTGGAAGCTGTGGAAATTGCCTCCTGGCTGTCATCTGCTGCTTCTTTACAGGTCTGATCACATGCTAAATGTGAGGCTTTGACTAATGCTTGGTATTTGAAGGAGATCAGAGGAGACCAAGAGGATTATACTGAAAAACTGTCTTTTGGTATTTATCCCCCATTACACCCCGTTCTTTGACCCTACTAACAGAGTAAGGGTGCAGCAGGAATGCAAATGATTGCAAACAGAGGGGTTAAGGAGTCATCATTTTCCTGGGTTGCACGGGACAGCAAAGGGTTACTGTGCTTAGGCACAAAAGAGAGAACTCAGAGCAGTTTTTCTTTCCTGTCCTTTATTCTGTGATATAACCTGAGCCTGAGTGGGAAGCACAGACCAAATAAATTGCAAAAGAAACTAGAGCTATCTATGACCCTTTGTAGAGGAAATGATCAGCATCTAGTCTTATTTGAGAAGTTGAAAAAACCCAAGCCAGTTTTAATGAGACTTTTCACAGTCACAAATAGTGGCCCAGAGTAGAATGGTGCTGAGCAATTATATTTTCCTGAGCTTTCTAAATCAGCAATCAGGATCTGCCTTCTTTTAAGTAGGTCCAGGAAAAATTAAATACATCTTTCTCATTTTTCAAGCAAATATATTTTTAACACGAATTTGCTTTGTGAAAGTAAAACAGCTTGCTATGATAATGTGGAAATGGAAAGCATAAAACCAGTCTTACAACAATTTATATACACTAACTTAGAGAAGATGTTAATGAATTAAATTCCTATGCTGTAAATTACTCAATAAAATGCAAACTTAAAGAAAAGTAAAAATTGAAAACTCCATTTACCTTTTAGTACTGTGAAAAAATATAAAGGAAAACAAAGAAGGAATTTAGAAGGAATCACTGAGCATATAGTCTTATTTGAAAAGCCAAAAAAACCCAAGCCAATTTTAATGAGACTTTTCACAGTCACAAATAATGGCCCAGATTTAGAATGGTGCTGAGCAACTACATTTTCCTGAGCTTTCTAAATCAGCAATCAGGATCTGCCTTCTTTAAAGGAGGTCCTGGTGAAATAAATACATCTTTCTCATTTTTCATGCAAATGCATTTTTTACAGTCAGACAACAATTTAAGAGCAATAACTTAGTGAAGATGTTAATGAATTAGGTTCCTATACTATTAATTACTCAAAAAACACATATTATAAGAAAAATAAAAATTGAAAACTTCATTTACTTTTTAATACTATGCAAAAATATAAACAAAAATACAGAAGGAATTTTGAAGGAATTCATTAGCATATAGTTTAAAAAAGTACAGTGCATCTGGAACTTGTTTATCAAATGTATCTAAGTGGTTACTTCATACTGAAATTTGGCTCAATATTGGTAAGACACATTACCTGATTTAGTGATTGGTACTTACTGACTATTGAAAGGACCACAACAATAAAATCAAATAAGTTCCAGCCGCTTTTGAAGTAATGCTGTCTTAAGGCCAGCACTTTTATGACACATTCTGCTGTAAATACAGCCACAAAAAAATAGTTGATTTTATTAAGAAGTTCCTTGGTGCCTTCCTGGTTATTTTCTGCCATCATAACAAACATATTTAGGCAGATGAAAATGACAATGATGATGTCAAATGCTTTGTGCATTACGATATCAAACAGCAATCCCAGGAACGCATTCTGTGGAGAGAACAAGAAATGCTTGATGCTACTTCTAGGACTCAGCCTGCATTCAAATATTAATCAGTAATTTGTGCTTAGAACAAGAATTTAGGGTAATATAATTTTAACAGTAAGCTACTAGAAGCATTTTTAGGTGATTTCTTTAGATCTTCAATGAAAACTCGCAGTACTTGGCTAAGTATATTCAGGTATCAAGCAAGCACATTGGCACTTATATATGTACACACATCAGGAAAACATCCAGAGCACATTGTGATTGCTCTTTTAATAGAAATACTTATTGAAGCAGATATTTTACCATAAGCAATTCAAATTAAAATGTCATAAGCAAGAAAAACTCTGAATAGTTACTATGAAAAGCCAAGCCTGGAATTAGAATTAAGAAACTAAAAGAAGTAAAGCATAAGATTATTTAAAAGCAAACAGTTGCCATGGGGCATGTGCTATTCTCTGTTCATTCTCACCTGCAATAATCCAATCTCGTGGCAGAGGCAACATCATGCAACTTAGATAACCAAGGTCATGGTATGATTATCAAATACTAATTATGAACCTTTATAAACAGGTTATACATTTGGATAGGTCATAAATAGGATATAAATTTCCCTAATTAACACCTACAAAGAAAGACTCTTTTAAGAAAAAGACAGTAAAATGTAAATACTACATTGAATAAAGAAGATGATGGGCTCTAAGGCAAAGTTTATTTCCCTGTGCCTGGGCTACTGAGTTCAAATATGGTCACCATCGTTGTATCTTCTGCCATGTTCTACTTAAGATGGTCTCACCGATGGTCTTGGGATGGGTTTTTGAGGTTTCTTGGATCCAAGTTTTTTTAGGGCATTATAGTACTTTTTCTGTTCCTCAGTCAAAAATAGATCTTTTCCACCTAAGTAAAGGGAAAGAATATTGTTGTTCAGCTGAAGTTTAAGCAGTTCCCTATATACCAGCAACTTTCTGTAAAAAAGAGTAAGTTACAGCTGTCCTGAATGGGACCTAAGAGAGTACAAACTGTGTCTTCACTATTTCTCCTTGTCCCCTTGATCTTTGAAAAGATGTACTGGAAAGAGCTGATCTGGGTTTGATCATGGAAGTTTAGTCTAGGCAGTGTTCTCAAGTCAGTTCCCTCAAGTGTGAGAGCCTTTCTATTTTTGGGAAAGGTAGAAACAGAAATGTATTGCTGGACTAGCAGGTAAATGGAGGATGATGAGACCCAGTTCTACAGGGGGTTCCTGACAATGAATTTCTTATTCCCATCTACACCCCCTGTATTACTTATCCCCATCTACACCCCCTGTATTACTTAGCAATCCCTTTGAACCCAGGATTCAGAAGCCACTCATCAATCATAAAAGCACTGAGTGATCAGCATTTTGTAGAACAAACACACAACAATGTTCAGTAGGGCATCTGCAATTTCAATCACTCTGGAAAGACCTCTGAAAATTCCATTTGACTTCACTATATGGAATCACACGGAAAATTCCTGAGAATCAGCAAAGAAATGAAAGAGAAAAAAATGACAGAGAAAAAAATGACAAAAAAAAATGTCAATCACAGCATGTACTAAGAAAAAAGGGTTACATCCACATAAACTTCCAGTAAATGTTCCGGTTTATAAACTACTTGACCACTGTTGTTTCTATCTGTTTGGATTACTGTAACTGGGACTTTGTTAGAAAAGGAAATTCTTAGAGTGAAGTTGGACTGTTGTTCCTCAACCCCCAAATATCCTTTCTCTGTTCAAATGCAGAGAGCAGAAGAATTTCTTGTGGGCTTTATTGCTCTCTCTCTCTACCCAGAGCAGCAATGCTCTGACACTTGGTGTATGAATCAGGCTATGGAAATAAAAAAGGGTTCCTGTAGAGATTCTGCCTTCCAAAAGTGAATCTTGAAATTGTAAAGCTCCTGTTGGGGTCTGCTTTTTTTGAATGAGCAAGAGGTTTATTTGTTTTAAGTCATCCAAGTGAAATAATTTACTCAATTTTCCTTTCTATTCTGGATACTTTAACATCTAAATGAATCAGGACAGAACTCAACCTGGTTTTGGCTTCTCATCTCTAAAAATACTCCCTCCCTCCTCCTCCTCCTCTACTTAGAACAAATTAAGGACTTGGCAGGAAAATAGAGTTTACAGGTAAATTGCTAAAAGCCTTGAGGAAAAGGGGACTCCTGTTTTCAAAATGTGGCTTAAAGTGTTATTATTTTTGTCCAGTTAAACAGTTATTTCAAAATGTTAGACATCTACATGTCAAACCAGCATTCAATTAAGCAAATTGGGATTACAGGAGACACCGAGTTAGCTCAAGTAGTACTTATCTTTTTCCTTTGTTGGTTAAAATTGCTGATAACCACTCCAACAAAAAGGTTCAACATGAAGAAAGATCCAAAAATAATGAAAACCACAAAGTATATGTACATGTGTAAGCTTGCTTCAAACTTTGGCTGTTCATTGATCTGTTAAAAAAAAGTCAAACCAGAAAAATAATATTGGTAAAAATGAGATAATCACAACTTTACCATTTCCAATTTATAATAAGAGATTTTTTATTGTCATGAGGGATAAATTATTTCCACGCATTTACATTTTTACCTGGATGTACAAGTAGAACCACTGTCTTGTTCTATCTTCTACTGATTGCAAAGATAGTGACAAACAGAGCTATAGAGCCAAATCCAGCTTCAGGAAATTTTTAAGTCATAAAGAACCAGTTCCAATCAGAAGGGATCCTGTGAATGCCCTGATTAAAAACAACAGCTCAGACTAAACACAGTGGGGACCAGCCATCCTCTGGAATGCTGTCCCAGACAACAGGCAATTCTAAAGCCCCAGCTCACTAAGATCAGCCCTACAAGGAGCAATCACGTTAATCAGCAGCTATTTCACTGCAGTCAAGAGCACAGAGACTGAAGGAGTGAGAAAAAGGTAAATTCAGTTAAACATAGAGAAGTTAAAACACACTGTCCTGGTAAGAGAGTGAGGAACAGCACATGCAAAGGGGGAAGAAATAGTGAGGGTGTCAAACATAGGGAAGAAAAACTCCTGAAATAACTGCTCTAGCTGCATGCTGTTTCAATGCTCCTGTACACGTTTAAAAAGGAAGAAAATTTGCACAGTCCTTCCAAGAGCTTCTGTATTCTGTTTCCAAAAGAGACTTGCACAAAGCTTGCAACATCTTCCCCTCTGCATTCCTGACATAGCAAGCTTTTTGTGGTGTCACTCTACTAGTTTCTTTTATCTAAGTTCTAGATTTTTGGTAGTCCAAGGATTATTGTTTCACTGTGTAGTTTGATGCCTTCAACCACTTGTATGTTTGATTTGATAGTGCAAACAAGGTGAAAAATTAATGATATGGATGGAAAAGGGAAGAAGAAAAGGGAAAAGAACTAAATTGTCATTTTAGTGACATACCTCACGTGAATCCACTGCTGCATACATAATATCCATCCAGCCTTTAAAAGTTGCCTGAAAAAAATACATTTTTAAGCTTGTTATAGTTTATATATATATATATAGTTGATATATATAGTCAATATAAATGTGTTAATAGTTGTGGATAATGAGCAGTGTGCTATAAGAAATATGTATCACTTCTAAAGATCTGCTGGGAAGTATGATTCACTGGAGTTTAGTTAAAAGAAAAAATATTTCTTGAAAACTAAACAAAAACAAACAAACAATCAATCAAACAAAAATATTTCCTAAAACAAAAAAAAAATCATGATTCTTGCAAAAAGTGTCTTAATGTTAATTCTTCTTAAAATAAATTTTTTTTGTGAAAAATCACAGTAAAATTTTCAGCTCAACTTGCAAATATAATGTAAAAGGATAAAAACAATTTCTAAGAAAACAGCAAACAATTCCTTCCTGCAATTTTTAGCAACTCTGCAGAATCATAGAATACTTTGGAAGATCCAAGGCATAGAACTTCAGCTAAAAAAGATACAGGGATAACAGCCAATTTAAAAATTGCCTTTCTCTCCTTTGTTGTCATGTTAGGGAGCTCAATAAATTAGTATCCCAATCCTTCATGACTTCTACAGCAAAAGAAAATATAAATAAACTGTGCCCTGATTTTCTTTCTCATCCACTCTAAACTAGAGAAAATGAGAATATTTTTAATTCAGTAACCTGCAGACTATTTCAGGTTTAGAGTGTTAATCAAAATTAAAACAACATTGAAAAGCCATGAAACAGAAGTCTTGATTTTAACACAAGGTTGCATATGCTCAAGTGTTCTTTAGGAGGAACTGAGCAGGTCACCAACAAGGAAAATATATATGGAAGCTAAAATATATCCCCAATTTCACTGGGATAAACAGAAGCACAGGGGTGTCCCATGGTTGGGTTGCTCCACCCATTTCCTTGAAGAAAACAAAACTGAGAATGTTTTTATAGAACTCACCACTTGGAGCAGAGCCAAGTATCCCATCCCAACATTATCAAAGTTTACAGGAGAATTTGTCCATTTTCCACCATGAGACTCACAATCACTTCTGTTATTAATGAGACTGATATTTCCTTCCTGGAGTATACACTTTGAAAATCTTTTCCCAAGCCATTTTACTCCTAAAATGTTAAATAGGAGCCAAAAGACAACACAGACGAGCAAAACGTTGAAGATTGAGGGGATAGCTCCAAGGAGTGCATTGACAACAACCTGAACCAAATGAATGAAAATAATAGTGAATTTTATGTTGTCATTTTCAAAAACATCTTCAAATGCAGCCATTACAAAATATTCACACCGACCCTCAACATCTTTACCTTTATCCCTTCAAATCTTGACAAAGCTCGTAGAGGCCTCAGTGCCTTAAGAGTCCTGAGAGATTTCAGGCCACTCCCAGAGGAACAACGTGCCTTGCCTTCCGTATCAGGATTTAGTCCCCAGGAAACAAATGACAACTGTGTTCATAGAATTAGAATTGCAATTATTAAATGGTAAACAAATTTTCCCTTGTTTGTGTTAGCAAACAATCATTACCTGAATGGTACAATATCTTTATATATACAATATTAACACAATCTCTACCACCCCTTGGACCCTCCCACATCAGTTCAGGAGAAGCTTGCAGGGTGATAGTTAAAAGTCTCTCTCTCATTGGGATATCAGGGAAGGGGTCTTCTCTTGCACCCCCACCAGCCCTCAGCTCCTGCTGAGGTCTGCTCCTGGGCTGCAAGGGAAACACTTGCTTCACCAGGTCTTCATCATGAAAAGGTCCAAGGAGTCAGCTTTTGAGTCCTTTCTCCCTGGTTCGTGAAGGTTTCCTCCCCAGAGAGTAAGATGTTCCATTCTCACTCTCCAGGTTGCAGGCTTCCGGGTCTCGCTCAGTCTTTTACCCCAAATAGTTTCACCAAAAGTCCTCACATAGAAAAAGCCTGTCGGTTTGGCTTCCTCTCTTCCTTAACTGTTGCAGCTTTCAATTTTTGGCTGCCCTCGCCCAAACCTCGCTAGAGCCTGCCCTGAGCCTCCTTGGCCCATCTCCAATTCCTTCAGCCTGGAGTTCTTCCAGCTTCTGCACGGATCGCAGCTGCTTTCTCCAGGCTCCGGACCACCTTCTTGGCCTGTCTCCTAGCTCGGCTCCAGTAACGAGCCTTAAGTCCACGCCATCGCCTCCCTGAGCAGTGGGGGAAGAAAAAGAGCCCCCTAGCCTTGGCCATGGGTACTCGGTCCAGTTATAAACTGTTCCCAGCTCCCCTCAGCCTAGCCGGGGGTGGGAAGAGGGCCGGGCCCCCCACATAGGGGGCCAGAGGCCTCCCTCCTCTCACCTCATGGTTGCAAGTCTCTCCCTAATTTCTAATATCTAATTTCACAGGAGCGAAAAAAGACCTGCGATTGGTCCCTCAGGGGAAACTCTCCTAGGACCAACCACTTCTAGCCCCCTGAGGTGGGGAGGGGCGCTTAACCCATGACACATGACTTTCCCCTGTTTTGGAGAGCACTGATATTAAGATTAGAAAACTGTAATTGCTGAAGTCATGGTACATATTCTTTATAAATAGCCATGACATTAGACCTTCCTGTTGAAATTTCCTCCTACTTCACAACTTTCAATGCTGACTATTCTGAATCCATCAAATAACTACACTGATGTTACCATCAGTCATCTGTTTACATGTCCTTTTTTCTAAATATTTAACTTTAGAATCTTCCCAGTGTGATGTTGACAAGTATAGAGGTTTCACTTTTATATGGCAAGATTATAATAATTAATACTGTCTGAATTCATAAGAAATATGTAGGAATTGAATACTACACTTATCTACTGGTGTTTTCAACATGTATCTTTATAAATATGCAAAGGATTGCTGGGATTTCTCTTTTGCAAAGCAGAAAGTACATTCCAACGTCTTTAACATTCTGGTAAATGATTTTTCCAACAATACTTTTTAACTCCCTTTACTATCTAAGTTTCTTCTCTTTCAAGGAAGCAACTCTATGTTTTTCTGTTTCTAAATGCCAAAATCATGGATTAATGGAATGGTTTGGGTTGGAAGGGACCTTGAAGATCATCTAGTCCAGAACTGCCAGTAGCTTCTCATTTTTCTATCACTTTAGGTAATTTACTTTAGATTTGTTTCTGATCACTAATTGATCTCCTTCTCTCCACTTGAAAAGGTTTTTAGAACCATCATGGTCCTCAATGACGGTGATACCTAATAGAATTTTCTTAAGCAATGTCTCATTATTGCTGAAAATTTCAATTTAAATTTGTCCTAAAGTCTGTTTGGAATGCAGATTTTTCACCTTTTGGGAACTGTCTTTCACACTTGTACTTATTCATAATCAGAAGTTACATGTAGTTATCCAGACAGAAAATGTCAAAAATCAAAATGTATGACAAGCTGAATATAATACTTACACATACAATGACAAAATCAAGCAAACACCAGGAATTTGTGAAGTAACTCTGCAATCCATAAGCTACCCATTTCAGAAGCATCTCCATCAAAAAGATGTAGGTAAATACTTTGTCAGCATAATCTAGGATCATTTTCACTGTTTTTCTATTCTGCAGGTGAATATCTTCAAATGCCTGGAATGTCAGAATTCAGTTTTAAAACAGGCCAGTAGTTGCATGGAAAATTACTGTTAAATTGCACAAGAGTACACAGTTTGTCTTATTATAACCATTTCATATTAAATTATGGGCAACCCCCACTTAGTTTTATCCTTAGAAGTAAAAAACAAATTGTAAAATAAGTACAATCTCATTTTCAGGTTGTTGAAAAATCAGATACTTTCAGGTTTTTATGTTTGACACTTTAAAACATGTCTGAGGATAGGCAACTGTGGCTACCACATTCTGGCTTCCGAAGGTTGTTGATAATTTTGAAGGTGTTGGTCTAAATTCTTCACAATAAAGCCTGACTTGAACACATTAACCACTGTCTTTCAGACTCTGACCTTCCAAATGAGTCATCTTTAGTCAGCCTGCAGAGTTGTAATACACACATGGAAAACAATGGCAAGCTCCTTACCTGGAACTGTTCATTCCTGGAGTTACAGGTTTTTTCACCTAAACCTTGACCTCGAGGTTTTAGGAAAATGTTTTATTGATTGCTGCTGTTCACATCAGTGTTTGCTTGTCTTTAATGCATTTGCTGCATCACTAATTTATTTTAAATTTTTGATATTGCTGATCTGCTCCCAATTCCTTGTAACACCTTGCATTACTTCCTCACCAAGCCTCCACTTCTCCCCTATCCACTTCATTCAGGTATTAACAGCAGACCTGATTTGCTCCCCTGCACTTAACACATGCCTAAAAACCCATCTAAAAGGCCATGGGAAAGGTGGAGCAGGAGCATAGACCACTGAAAAACCAAGGAGCAGAGATGCTCCTATGTATAATCCAATAAAACTTATGCACTCCTGTTCTGCAGTGTTAGAAAACAGTGATTCTGCTTCTGGACCTCAGGGGTCTTTCAACTGCACAACAATTAGGAGAAATGCCTCCAGAGCAGAGCTGTCCCTGTGCCCATGGGACTGTTCATTTGAGTGGGGGTAAATGAGAACTTCTGGCATTCATGTACATAAACCTATTTGCCATTTCTGACCTTTTTTCTTGAGTAAGTTTGATCATGTGTCCTCTTATTGCCTGCTAAACCTTGGCTACCTTGATCTCCATCTACCAGTCAAACCACCTGCTCCTTAGCAGTGATGTTTTTTCATACTTCCAACTCCTTTTTGTCTAATTTTTTAAAGAGTCTACCTACTCTTAATTGCTGCTACCTTACAAAGTTAGAATCTACTTAAATTCCTAACTACTCTTCCTTTGCTCTGAGCACTGAGCATTTACCATGGACTTTTCTGTGCATTCTTTCTGTCATCACCATCTCATTTAATTTCCTTTCAAGGACAGGACACCACGGTGTCCCTTTGTTCTAACTGGTTCAGACAATTCTCTACCAGCATACAACTTTATAAACAAAGAAACCCAGCCAAACAAAAAACGGACAAGTCCCTTTTTGGAAGAGGACAACAGTATCTTAGAAATGTGAAAGTACTCATTGTTAAACATCTTCGATGACAAGAAAATGTTGTTGTTTTGTGTAATTTTTGCACCTGGGTACCAATTACCTTTGTGTTCAACTTAGTCAGAACCTAGAGCACATTAAAGAACTCAATTTCCTTCCTTACTTCAGCTTGGTTCCACATGAATAGAGAGGAGCCCTCACAAGAGTCCCAGGGATTTCCCTTGGAAATTTTGCCATGGGAATTTAAAAGCAGATAGTTTAAATCTATGGTTCAGTGAACAACCTGAACTTAACGTACACAGAGCAGATTTTATTTGGAAAATTCTGACTTTTACCACATAGATCTCTTTCAGGTTGTTTGGTTATGTTCCTTCTGCATTATAAAATATTTCATTTAACAAATTACTTTCAATCGACAGTGGATATACTTTCAAATCATAGAAATTCCCTTATTCTTGAGTAGAAATGGATCTGATCAGGGTAGCAACAAAACATTACCTCACCTATGAGTTTACAGCCAACTTGACTTTGAGATTCTGATCATAATATTTTAAAAATGCTTTAAACATTTAGAAGTGCTCTTACTTTATTTAAAAGTGCAAAGGAATTTCAGCCTCTGGTTTAGCCTTGTAATAAACACACAAGTGTAGGAAGAACTATGTTCCATGAAAAACTACAATTCCATATAGTTAAATCCATATATTTAAATATCTTATCTAACTGAGGGAAAGTCTTATCACTGTAAAGGGATACATTTATTACACTTTTTTCCCTCCCTGCTGGAAGGAATGTCAGAGTAGAAGAAATCAATCAAATATTATTATTTTCCTCATTGACAACAATCAATTCAAAATTAGAGACATTAAATGCAATTTACCAGTGCTGCGCTGCTCAATACTATCACAAAAACCATAAAATATTCAAACCCGCTATGGTTAACAATTCGGTAGCAGGTTTTCCTGAAGTTCCACCAACTTTTGCCTGGAAACTTAGTGATATCCACTACACAACATGGGAAACATTTACCACAATCTGAAAAGAGAAAGAACAGTATATTGGTTCCATGGAAAACGCTGAGACATGGAATCAAAACAGTATAGGGCATCTTAAAGAGAGCTTCTACAGACCAGAGAAAGAATGTGCTGTTTTACCTATGAGGTGATGCTGTGATTGAAATGATCTTAAGCTAAAGAAAAGAAAAAACTTGTATGCAAAATAATCTCTTTTAATAGAGCAACTCAAACATGGGGAAAAAGAGAGTTGCTTTTGTGCCCTTCTGCAGAAAGCCTGGTGGGCACAAGAAAAAAGACTTTATCTAAAAAATGTTTATTTTCTGCATTTCTCCTTTTGGTTTTGAAAAGAGAGAGTACCTTACTAGTAGGTTAGTCAATTATTATTTTTACTGATTATTACACTTTTTTCCACTGCAGAGACATTACAACTCCCTGTTCACTGCTTTGCACCAGAAACACTCCCCATGAATCTGTAAAGGCAGCAGGATTGAAGCATGAGAGGCAATGGAGTCTGAGGAGATGGTCAGGTAATCAAAGACAGATGTCAACACTGGGATGAGCAGGAAAACAGATTCTGCTAATCTGGACATGTTTCAAGTGGGTACATTTTAACATTGGTTCATTTGGTGTTAGCACAATACAGAAAAGATTCCTACTTTCTCCAAAACAGTCCTTAGGCAGGTGTGAGTTTTTAGTCTGGGAAAACATCTCCAGACCAACAGTTGCATCCACACTGCTGGCTTCATAAAAGCTGTGAGCAGCACCACATTTCTGCATGGGAGAAGGAGAAAGAGAAGAATTTATTTGGTTTTCATTAATAACTTTAACAAGCCAAAAATAAATGAAATTTATAATCCCCTGCCCCCCTCCCCAAAAGAATTCTGCAGTCTATAAATTACCTTACTGTTGCAGAACTACCAAAATGAAATTACAAAAATAGGACAGAAAAAGCCAATTCCTACTCTATGTTTCCACGGTTTTAATTTAATAAGTTCCTTGGCTTCTTCTAGTCATCTAAACAGGACATGCAGGAAAAAAAAGACTATACTATGCTACAACTCTGGAGAAAAGTCTGACTTCAGGTGTGCTAGATGCCTATTGAATGTCCCTGTTCGGGTGACATTTGTGGTACTTGTTCTGGCACGAACTCGAACTACACGAGGTGCAGTCTGAATTAGCTTTGTTACAAAAGAACAGCAGCTTAAATACAATGTTTAAATCGTGATGTGATCTCTCAATCAATCACACCAAGGTACTCCACTGCACATGTCAGATAGAGTACTTGGAACTACAAGTCCCAGAATGCTTTGCAGCACTTTTCCTGTAATATGAATCCCTACATTTAGCCAAATCCAATTATCTTTTCATTTTCAGAGATACATGCTTCTGGATAACATATTTGAAATGGCCACAGATGATTCTAAGGTGACCAGCAATTTCTGCTTCTTTGAAAATTAGTCCAAAGATATTTCATTGGCAATGCTTCCTAATATGACCAAAACCATAGCAAATGGATCTTAGCAATCCACCTAGACACTGACCACTGGAGACATTCCAAACCTGCCTGTAAAAAAATTATTTTTTGAGGTGTAGCTTTTCTTTGCCTTCTCTTTGGATGTGATGCAACTGAGGAGCAACATATAAGCAGCTGAAGAGACCTGTGTTAGAAACTATCCAAGTGTAAGACAAAGGAGACAAAAAGAAGGAATGTCTGTCTTCATCAAACTTCGTTTATTTGTTGACAGCAATAGATGGAAATAAAACTGACAAAAGCAGAATTAGGGCTATCCATGAAGAGAATGGTGAAAAAGTGGATATTCAAAATCTCCTTGGAAAATGAAGACTATTTGGTAGCCCTTGCACTAGAAGAACAAAGAAAGTAAAATGGCAGAAATGACAGAAGGGATAATATTTACTGTTGAGTCTTTGAGATGGCAATTACAGATGTAAGTTACAGTATTTTGTTTTAAATGTGAATAGTTCTTACCTGTTTTCTGTGTTCTGTTTCTGTGAATACAGTGTGCTCATCATCAATTTTGTCACTGTAACTCTCTGCTGCTTCAATGGGAAGACAGGTACTGTGACTGCTGGAAGGATCTTCATATTTCCTTGATATTGAGGAATTTTCTTCATTCTGGTAACACTCTATGTCAAAGCCATTGTTGTCTATGTATTTTCTGACATCTGTCATGGCATAATTATTATCCTCTATGTTTTTGCCAGAAATTTCTTCCAAAGTCTTCTTTTTGTCTGTTTTTCTGAGGCTTCCTTTCATTTTTCTGCTACGAGGATCCAGAATTCTGTCTTTCAAAGACTTCAGGCCCTGGTGAATCTGTGCAAGGGCAATCTGACATTTAGTCCTTTCTCCAGGTTCCTCTTGTCCCCCTGAGGTATCAGTATTGAACGAACTCAGCAGCAGGGCAATGAACAAGTTGAGCACCTTGAAATAGTTAAAGTAGGTTGGAGACACCACTGCTAACAGAAAAGTCACTTCAGAAACCCTCAGTCTTGCTTTCCTCAACCACTGCCATGAAATTATTTACTATTATATTGCAACATTGTTATAGGACCATCTGGCCCCTTCTGGAAGGAATGGCAGGAGAAAAAGGAAGGAAGTGAGGGTTTGGGTATATCAAATATATTTTCACCTGCTCTGATATCCATAACGTGTGAGGAGACAGATATGTTGAAAAACAGCAAAGATGAATTTTAATAACACCACCATCCAAAAGGGTCTGGTATAGACCAACAAACCAAGCAGATGAAAAGATTTTGTCTTCCAGTACATTTACATTCCATCTACTATATGTCATACAAACCAGAAAATCTGGGTATGGTAAACTCTTGATAATACAAGTTGATAAGCATTAAAAGCACTGAACAGTTTGGTTATTGGATCCTATCAACACAAAAGATGAAGACATCAGACACCACATTATCAGAAGCACTGCACTTCTATACTGTGGGTAGAGGGAATAATTTTGTATTGCTTCTACCTCTTATGTTAGAAAGAGAAAGACAGGGGAAAAGTGAAAAAAAAAAAGAAAGATAGAAGAAAAACACGCCAAGTGACATCCAGAAAAGAGAATAGTGTGAATACTCTTGAAATGATAAAGTTTCCCTCTGCAAAAATCAGTTGCCAGTGTAACTGGATGCATTCAGTAGAGACTGGGAATCAGCTTAAAACTCACCACCAGGTTTCCTATCACCAGGACTAGCATGAAAATTGTAATACATTTCTCTTTTCCAGCCACTTCCATACATTCCCACATCGTTTCAATCCATTCTCCACATAATATTCGGAATATAATCAGGACTGAATGACTGAAATCCTTCATATGCCAGCGTAAATCCTCAGTGGTGCTTATATTACAGAAGTTTGTTTCATAATCACTGCCCAGAAGCTGCATTCCTAGTACAGCGAAAATAAATACAGTGATAGCCAAAACCAGAGTGAGGTTACTCAGAGCACCACATGAGTTTAGAATTATTTTCACAAGAGTATTTAAGGCTGGCCAGGACTTTGCCAATTTGAAGATCCTGATCTGTAAAATAAAACATAAGAGAAAAAAGGTAAGGTCAAACACAGCCCAGACAGCACAGCCCACATAAAAACCAGACCCTGCATTTATCATGCTGCCTTTACTGCAGTAACATTGTCATTTTTCCCCAAGAAAGGCTTTTAATTGTTTTGATGCAAAAGTGCTGTGCTTAAGCTCCAACAATTAATGTTATTGAGAGCAGAGAAGTATCAAAGGAAGGTTTCAAATTGTTTGTGCTAAGTTAGATACGAGAGTGTGCCAGTGTAATAATGTTAATAGCAATAAAAAGAACAGGAATACAATTAAGTAGGTCACGGGTACTTGGAAAAGGTTATGAAATTACTGAGTTTTGGTCAAATGCAATAAGACAAATATTTTTTTATACTTCTCACCAAACAGACTTAAAATAGGATCTGAAAAGCCAGATGGGACCTACTCTATGTACCCCCACGAGTAAAACGGAGGTATTTAGTCAAATTAGCATTCAGGGCTGTGAAAATCTCTCAGTCATGATAAAAAGGGGAAACAGAATTCAACTGCATTTCTAGGCTTGTGGACTCTGAAATGCAAAGAAGCATTTGAAGTAATTAGTAAATTTAACATTAAAAATATGCAGTAAGGACATAAATACAAAAGCAATGTCATACACAGACACTTCAGAACGATTCCTCTTTCTCCCTAAAATGGAGAAAAGCGCTGAAGAGCCCTCAAGGCCAAGACTGAGCCCTGAGGAAAGCTCCATTATTTTACAAATCTTAGCTCAAAAGGAAAAGCTGTGAAGGAATCTTTGCTATCCTTAAGCTCAGCAGATAATATCTGATCCTGATTGTAGCTCTGAAATGTAGTTGAGCAGTGCCACTGTACAGACCTAACAGAGAACCAGTGAACTCTCTGCTGGGTCAGATCTCCCTGGCAGCACACTGTGCAGGGGATTTGTAGTATCCAACATACACAGTATAATAAACATATTGAAAATATTCTTTAATATTAATTAATTTTTTTAATGAAATGTTCATGTTGGCTTACTATTTACCAACAAAGAGAACTGATTTGACAGATTCATCAGGAAAATAATGACAAGGTATTTCACTGTAATCTTTCACAAATCTATATAAAACACGTGCTTTTAAAAAAGAGCAAAGAAATCATTACCACCCGGAAAGGTGACAGATTGGTTCCAAAGCTCACTAGGCCAATCAAAACAACCAAGCTATCAAAAACATTCCACTTGTTCTGAAAATAGTAGTAAGGATCTAGAGCAATGATTTTCAAGATCATTTCTAGTGTAAAAATAAGGGTGAACACCTGGAAAGACAAAAAAGAAATTCAGAAAAGGTCACTCAAGAAGTCTGTCTCCTTATGGGACTGTTCCAGTATAAATACAGGGTTATAACTCTGTATTCAACTTACATAGACCTCACTTACCTGGTCACTTATAGTAATCATTTTTCTGGTTTCTGGCAACATGCCAGGGTGCTCCATAGCCATGAATAAGGTGTTCAAGATAATGCAAACTGTGATAAAGAGTTCAACAAACGGATCCAAAATCACCAATTTCACCTTCTCTTTGACTGCTCTCCAGAGGGGACAACAATTCCAAATTAGATACTTTGAAGCAAAACGTTTCCACAATGCAGGACATTTCAATTTTGACTCTAGCAGAGAAAGAGGGAAAGTGGCATATGAATAATCCTATGTGGAATATCAGAGTGTGAAGAAAAAGACAATCAAAGAAAAGATTGGAAAGAAAAATCAATCTCATGTGAGCAGAATGGCATCATTGAAAAAAAACCTGTTTCACTCCTACTACACAAACTAATCACAGGCTATTGCAGGTCACCATCAACAAATGTCATAATGACAGAAACAGGGGATATTCCCCACCTCTTCATATGTTTATTATTCTTTCCTGTGAGGCTGGGGAGGCCCTGGCACAGGTTGCCCAGAGAAGTTGTGGATGCCCCATCCCTGGGAGTGTTCAAGGCCAGGTTGGATGGGACTCTGAGCAACCTGGTCTAGTGGAAGGTGTCCCTGACCATGGCAGGGGGGAAGAACAAAATGATCCTTAATGTCCAATCCAACACAAACTGTTCCATGATTCTATGATTACACTATTAAAGGATGATAAAGGATCTGCATTAAGGAGAGAAATCACTGTTTCTGGGACAATGACAACCTGTTTCCTGTGAGTTGAACCTGCCCAGCCACAGGTGTCCATAGCTGAGGACAGGGTTATAAGTGAGGTTGGAGGAGAGCTCAGGAGATCTGTAGTGCAACCCCCTTCTCCAAGCAGGGTCAGCCATCAGGTCAGAGACTGCACAACCTCTTCCTCTGAAAATGGGCAACGTTTCTGCTTACACACACTTTGAAATTCTCTTCTTTCAATCAAGTTGGTCAGGCATGATTTACCCTTGGTAATTGAGTTCCAGTCACAGTTATATGAGATATGAGAATATTTGTTTTCCTGAAATTTACATTTGCAACATAATTTCCTCTAGTGGTTTTTAAAATAATGTTGAGTGTTTGAGACAGTTTGATCTCTCAGGTCACATTACACAATCTCATAGGAAAAACAGGAAAGAATGACTTACTCGAATTATCTGTAAGAATAGTGGCTGCACTCATTAACCTCTGTCTTCGGAAAGGATCATTAATAGAGTCCACTGACACATCATAGGACAGCAGGATCTGCCTCTTTGGTTAGAAAGATAACAGAAGGTAACATAGCAAGGGAATATGAAAAACTGGCAATACAAAAATTATGTTCAGCATGACATAAATATGCCTTTTTAAATACACATTGAAGGGAAGCTTTACTTTGGTGAAAGAACGCAAACCAAAAAAATACAACACTATCAGGTCTTTGCTTTTGAAGACAAAGGGTGTTTCATCAAAACCAGTAAATTTCTTCATGAAGTTGTTTCCTTCTGAAAATATTTAATAACAATAATAATGTCATTGTAGAAGAAGTATAGAAACATTAATGGGGCAAGGGAAAAGAATTCTTCCATCTTTCCCATGACTGATTAGAAGAACAGACAAAAAGAACACTGGTCATCAGTTTGAATAAACTATTGCCTTTTTAACAGAGAATTATTGATAATAAAAAAACCCATTTATTAATATGAAAAATAGACACGTAGTTAATAAAAATTATTATTGTTCCAGCACTACCAGGCCTATCTAGATCTCTACTAATATTGAACTGCTTAAAACTAGGGATGGTACTACTTTTGTTTTCATTAGAAGCCATGGAATGCTCAGCTCAGTGCTCCTGATGTGAGCTCAAGGACAGACAGGCCAACACTTTTATCTTATGGGATACACTGAATTATTATTAAATATTCAGACACATTAAAACCCACACACTTACTCAGGATTAAATAGACAATCATAAAACATGGGCTACAAAGAATACGTGAGACTCCGAGGTAGAGAAAATCAGAAAGAATTCCAGAGATAGTGGGAAGGCTATATAAATAAGGATATATCATACCATTACTTCAAACTTTTTTGATACTATGATTTTATCAACATATTCTAGAAAGCTGTTATTCAGGGAATGAAACTGGTATTCTTGGCCTCAGGGGTTTCATAATAATTATTTCTCTTTGTCATTCTGATATTTTAATGAAAAATAATCAAAACTTAGCTGATAGAACTGTCATAGAAGGGATATATCAAATGAATTTGTAATATAGTGCTAAAATGCTCATTTTTCTCTCTATAGTTTTTCTGAGTCTAAAAGGCTCATTTAGATTATTTTAATTATGTCCCAGTTACCAGTGCAACTTGTCCTTTCATTCCTTTCTCTAATGTTTGGTGTCTTGTAGGACAGAAATACATAAAAATGTGTGTGCCAGCCTGACTAAAGTCCTCGGTCTTCTTGTTGAAATTCACAGCTGTTCAGAAGCATTCAGAGTTAGTGTTTTTAAAAAAGACAAGGGTGTTCCCCAACACTGACCTGGTTACTGCTGCTCATCTGTCTTTAGCTGAGGGAAATAACTGAGGATGAGAAACTGGGATTTAAAATAGGGATATTCTCTAGAGGAATGATCCATTCAAGTTTTTATAAACTGATTAAGTCCTACCAAAATGTTCCTACCTGATATACTTTTTTCTCTTTGACTTAGTATCTTTAGCCTCTTTTGTGATGAAAGTAGAGAGTAGATTGTTTTAAGAGTCCTCAGTTGCAGGAGAGACACCAGTAATTGCCACATTTGTTGTAGATTGTATTTATTTGACTAATAAAAGAACTCTATGTCAGAGCATCTCACCCGGTTTGGATTATGCTCTAGGTTTTCCTTTCTATTTTTTTCCTTTTATAATGTGAAAATATTTTGATATGAAATAATAACATGTACTACTGACACCCACTTCTAGCTTCCCTTTCAAGTCCAAATAGTGCTGTCTTCCTCGCATCCCAAAATACAATTTTCAGATTGCTTTAAAAAACAAGTTATTCCAATGAATGCAAGAAGGAGAAAAAAAAAACAGAGAGGAAAAAAATGGAAATAAGGAAAGCTTTTCTGCTCAGTGAATTCTCATATCACACCTAAGCTTAATGAATATATTTTCTATTTTGAATACTTACAAGCTTCTTGTGGCAGTGACCAGGCTGTGAATGAAATATTTGCTCCTCTTTCTCCTGATCATCTAAAACTACATTTTGTCTTAAAACAGGTGTTTCTCTATTACTGTCTCTCCCTTTTGAATTTTTCAACTCAGCAACTGGCATTTCAGACCCAACCTGCAAGGCCTTACTGCTTTCTGCTGCAGCCACCTCCTGTAAAAGAAAAGTCAAAAGGTCTGTTTATTAACACAAGGTAAATGCCAACACATGGACTAGGATAATATTCAATTTAATTTTTACTCGATTAAATTATTACCCTGTCTGAATGCTGAGGAACTTGGTAAAATGGTGATGCCTTACACCTTAATGCACTGCCAGGGAGTCCCAAATCTTCGTTCACGAAGCCTAGCCATGATGATGACACCTTAATGAGGAAATTGGATACTTGCTGGGGGATATTTGCATGGCCTCTTACAAATCTATCATTTTTGACTGTGAGCAGTAAATCAGAGGTGTCTTTTATAAAAAGTTACAAGATACAATAGGTCGTACCAATAATTTTCAACCCATCCTGCTGCCTTGGCTTAGAGCTTCACTTCTGGTGGATAAGAAGCTTGAGAGGACCCAGCAGGGTGGGCCTGCAGCCCAGAAATAACTGTGTCCTGGGCTGCATCACGACAAGCATGGGCAGCAGGTCAAGGGACGTGATTCTCCCTCTCTGCTCCCCTCTCCTGAGACCCCACCTGCACTGCTGTGTCCAGCTCTGGGCCCTCCCCATCAGCAGGACATGGACCTGCCCAAGGGCACGGAGATGCTCTGAGGGCTGGAGTACCTCTAGTCTGGAGACAGGCTGAGAGAGTTGGGGTCATTCAGTCTGGAGAAGAGAAGGCTCCAGGAAGACCTTAGAGCCCCCCTTCCAGTGCCTAAAGAGGCTCCAAGAGAGCTGGAGAGGGACTTTTTACAAGGCTAATGGTTTTAAAGGGAAAGAAGAGAGATTTCGATTAGATGTTATGAATAAATTCTTTCCTGGCAGGGTGGTGAGGCACTGGCATAAGTTTGCCCTGAAAAGCTCTGGATGTTCCATCCCTGGAAGTGTTCAAGGCCAAGTTAGATGGGCTTTGGAGCAATCTGGTCTAGTGGAAGGTGTTCCAGACCATCCTGGACTGGAAGACCTTTAAGGTCCCTTGCGATCCAAACCATTCTGTGATTCCATGACTCAATGATTATCAGAAATAAAAACAGGTGATCCCTGGTCCCTTTCAGACCAAGGTATGAATGACTGGAACAATACTATGCCAAGAGGAAACACTGTGGAAATCTGATGTGTGTCTATTAACTCTCCAAAACAACAGCAAAGAAACTAATGCAGTCTCTGGATGTCAAGAGGAAACTTAATATGGAACAAACAGCATTATCCTGGCTAAAGACTATTCCTGCTCTTGTCAACTGATAGACCTCCTGCATGCCTTCACTCAGAAAGAGGCCTGACAACCTTTAAAATGCTGAGCACAGTGGCTCCTGGAAGGCTTTTTAATCAGGCCTGAACTCTTGTCAGCACTGAAACTTCCAACTTCTGGGAGCTGCAGAAATGACAACTTTTCTCATGGATGTAAATGTATCCACTCATATTTCCTTCATGAGACTACACAGTAATAGCAAGAAGGAATACCCAGAGAAAGGAATTTATGTCCACAGCAATAATGGTAGTGTACAAGAACGGGGAAACCATGGAGTGCAGCACCTATGCAATACCATAAAAGGTACAAACTGGCCAGTAAGCCATTCCTGTACAATGTCAGGTCTGCAAATCCTAAAATTCAATGATGTTTTTTTGTATCACAGAAATGTTTATATATTCAATACATATATACATACACACATGGATTTATAGAGACACAAAGAGAAATGAAGTGTGAGAAAGTGTGCAAGAAGTACATATTTAATTCAAAACATCATTTCCCTAATTCACATACAGAAGAAAACAAAAGGAACCACTTATTATATGTAATAATATACAAACCTGTTCTTTCTCTAGAATTTGTTGGGCATCCTGAAGCAGTTTTTTCTTGGCCTCCGTTTCAGCAAGACTGGATCTGTTTTGCTCTTCATATGCCATAGTTACTACAGCCAAGATCAGATTGAACAGATAAAATGAGCAGAAAAAGATGACTCCCATAAAAAAAAAAATGCAGGTCACTCCAGATGTACGGATAGTCTGTGAGGAAAAAGTAAAAGTTGTGATATATTCTTAAAAAAATAACGTTTACAATACAATTTCAAACTAACTTTACACTCTTTTAAAATGGCAGAAGAGGAGATGGCTCAATATTAAGCTTTGATACATTAAAACCCAAAAACCATGTGAGTTTCAAATGGCAAGAAGAAGATATATCCATTTTTAAAAAGTCCTAATTAATAAAGGTTGATGGAAAAAAAGTTAAAATGGACAAAAAAATACAGAACAAGGCAGAGGATAATTCTTGGCTAGCAAAGGCATTGCATAGACATAGGGGATCCAGAGAGTTGTCTACATGAATTTTAATAGCATTTCTGAAAAAAAACCCACCAGAATTCAAAAGTTACATTCAGTTCTCTGAATCAAAACATCAAGCCTCCAAATTTTTAATGTCAGTTGTCAAAAATGATCTGAAACTAAAGTGTTGAACCAAAAGGTTTGGTGAGGAGTCAGGACTTAAAAGGAAGAGGAACAGAGAAGGCAACAAGTCCTCACGCTCCCTGCAGCAGCAGTGAGCTCACTGGCTGGATCTGCTGTATATCCCAATCCTTGGGTGGTTCCATACTCATATTTCACTCTTAACCACTGACCCCAGGGTGTTCTCCTACAGAACTATGGGCATTCCCAGCAGGATTGCTCCCATTCCATGTCCCTTGCAGAAGGTGTTACAACTTAGTCACTTGAACCTACTTCCTTAATATTTACATGGATTTTAAAGGAAATGTGGTGTCAGTAAGGTTAAAACCAGTAGAGATTTTTCTAGTGGCTCTGAATTGCATGTGTCAAGTCATTCTATCAGGTAATAGAAGTACCCACCTGTCTGTAGAGACGCTCCCAGGAATCCTGTGTCATCAGACGGAATACAGAGAGGAAGGCCCAGCCAAAATGATCAAAACTTGTATAACCAAAGTCAGGATTCTGCCCAATCTTCTGGCAGGTATAGTTTTCTGGGCACTCTTTCCTAACCCCAAAATAAAGATTAAACAATATTTACTTGGAGATTTAACGGTACCTGAAAGCACCCAATAGACAACATCAAATTTGTTCAGTTTATCTGAAAGTCCATTTCATTATTCCCAAATTTAATTCTGCCAGAAGGGCTGATTTATATCAAACCATCCTAGAAAGCCATTTGTCTAATCAGAGAAAATTGGACAGAAACCTTAGTTTAGGACTAGACAAAAAGTGTCCCCTGATGTAGGATATGTGCAAACAAATACACAGAGAGGGGGAAAATGGAATTACCTTTACTTTTAAATAATTCACCAAGATGAGGAGAGGAGAGTTTATTAATATCTAACAGGTCTTTACTGATCTCTTCCTCTCCTCATTTATATCATTCTACCTTACCATTACATTCCCAGTGGTTGGCAACAAAGTACATACATAACTGGTTGCATCCTTGTACTTCATTCTTTTTCTGAGGTGAAATACTTGGCTTTTAATTTAATGACATACATGCATCCCCATCCTCCTGAAAAATCATCACCATTCCTTTAGACCAGAAATAAAACCACAGGACATCTGGAGGAACAAATTAAGAAAATATTAAAACTATCTTGTTCACTTACTCAGGATCTGAACTGATCTCACAGAGCAATATGTCAGAAGAGCCATTCATTCTGTGGCAGATATCTAATAAAAAATAAATCAAGGAATCATAAAATCAGAAGTTGTCAGTTTGCACAGCCTTCTGACAGGAAACCATACATTTACTGCACTTGATAAACACCCTGATGGATCAAAGCTCTGGGAAGGATCCTTTCAAAAAAAAGGATGTATAGGGCTGCTTCTCAGCAAATCTGTCTCTGTGACAGATTAAAAAAAAATAGCAACTATTTACTGCACAACTCCCAATGTAACATTTTACTTGGTCTCTGGTAAAAGTAAGAATCGCTGTGAGAAGTAGGCAAAATCCCTGAAATATAGAAAAAGTGATGGAAAAATAACCATACCCCATGCTGTACCCCTAAAATTAGGATCCCCGTACCATGCACAGGTAAAAAGGCAAATGCTTATAGAAAACTCAGCCCCATCTATCCCACAGACTGCTAATCTTTCTCCAAATCCAAGATTCACTAATTTCACATTCACTTGTCCCAGAGACTTCATATTAAGACTCGTGCAAACGGAAGGGTTTTCCTTCTTGGGAGAAATACATGCAACTATCACATCTCTGTGAAAAATCAAGACATACATGGGAAGATGCACAGATTATGTAAAGGGAGAAAAGAATAACATTTACCTTCATCACTTGGTACATAGATCTTGGGATCCTTACATAATGAGTCATTGTACACAGTATTATTGAGGACACATTTGAATCTTAAATTACCCATAAAAAGCTGGAGGCCTATTAGGGCAAATATACTCAAGCAAAATACAGTCAAGATAAACACGTCAGCAAGTTTCTTAATGGATTCAACAAGTGAATTTACAATGATTTTCAGACCTAGAAAAATAAGATCCAATAATAAGCAAAATGAGAAGAGGAATGCAGTGACATTCTCATGTGACAAGACACAGCAGCTGCAAGTATGTTAAAAAGAGAGTAAATGGGTTTGTAACTTCTGAGTATTAAATGAGGTAAAACAAAGCATAGGAGTGACTAAAGCATTTTTCCTTAAATTTCCTAATCATAATTTCTTTAGCCTCTGTTTAGTACCTAACACTAATTTTACTATCTTGCACATTCTAAATTAAGATGGTATCCTAGCAGAGTCTTACAAACTTTAATGAACATGGACAGATTTCTGTGTTTGATTTACACTAAACAAGTACTTCACCCTGTGCCAAATACACATTACAATGACAAAGAGGGTGACTGTTTCCTGGGCTGTGTTAGGCAAAGCTTGGTCAGCAGGTCAAGGGAGGTGATTGTTCCTCTCTACCCAGCCCTGGTGGGGCCACAGCTGGACTACTGGCTCCAGTTCTGGCCCATGGACACACTGCAGAGTCCAGCAAATGGCCACAAACATGGGGAAGGGACTGGAGCAACTCTGCCATGAGGAAAGGCTGAGCTGGGCCTGGTCAGCCTGGAGAAGAGAGGGCTCAAGGGGGATCTCCTCCATGTCTGCACAAATCTGAAGGGAGAGTGCAAAGAGGATGGATCCAGGTGCTTTTCAGTGGTGCCCAGTGCCCGGACCAGAGGCCATGGGCACAAACCGAGACATGGGATGTTCCATCTGAGCATCAGGAACCACTTTTCTACTGAGAGGGTGACTGAGCACTGGCACGGGTTCCCCAGGGAGGTTCTGGAGTTTCAATCCTTGGAGACTCACAAAAGCTGTCTGGACTTGGTCCTGGGTAACCAGCTCTCAGTGGCCCTGCTTGGGCAGTGAGGCTGGACCAGACGACCTCCAGATGTTCCTTTCAAACTCAACCATTCTGGGATTCTGAGAAAATGCCTTACATATGAACTAAAGACCAATATTGAGGCAGAAAAATTGAATCTGAGATATGATATAAGCAGACAGTGATATCCAGGATTTTTCATAAGAAAAAATTCAAATTATATTTGATCTCTGTTCTCCAAGCTGAATATAAAAGGAAAAGTATTTATGTATGGTTTTGACACTTAAATTAAACACTTTCTATGTTTCATTCCTGCTACAATTCCATAGAAAGAATAAGCACGCTGATGAAATGGAGAGACTATCAGTAAGATTGTTCCTTACCTGGTATTACTGAAATGGCTTTCAAAGTCCTCAGCACTCTGAAAGTTCGAAGAGCTGAAACATTGCCTATATTTTGAAACATAGTAACGTACCTATAAAATGAAACCACATGTAACTGAGTGGCAAGGATGTTTTTCAAACCATAAGCATGTTGAGCCAGTCTATGACTATTTTTCTCTTTGCAGATATGCAAATGGTGGTTCAAGCACAGTAACTCTTTAGCAGGTAGGAGGCCAAACACTCTCAGGGATTTCAGCAACATCAGATAGTATTTAATCTGTGGCTTTTTCCCTTCAATGTAAAAGAACAACTGAGTTGTACTTACATTACAATAATAACAGACAGATCCAAGCAGTTCCATGGATCTCGAAGGAAGGTAAATTCATTCCAAACAAATCCTGTTGCTACTATTTTTATCAAAATTTCAGTAGTATATATGCCAGTAAAAGCAATTCTGAGGAGGAAAAAGTGTATGTAAGTTATAGAAATAAAAATATTAATGAGATTGAGTCACATTCAGGCACATTCAGGCATTTCCTAAGATTTAGTCCCTGCATGGAGTAAAGGTAGAAAATGTGAAGTAAAATAGGACTGGTTACATTACTTTCAGAAGCATCATGGCTATAAGAAGATGTGTTCCTGAATTCTAGTAAGATTTCAGGTAGCAACTAGGAAAGTTCACATAAGCATATAATATTATTTCTAGGTGAAGGATAGCTCACGCTTCCTTAGCATTTTTAAGGATCTTAAAACATTTTTAAGACTGTGTCTGTATTCTAAAGCAGTCTGGAAAATCTCAAAGCCTCAAATTCTGGCAGAACACTAGAGCAAATATTCTATAACTGAAAGTAAACCTACAGAAAATTAAGCTCTTCTTATCACCATGCTTACCCCAAGACAAAAGGGGCTCTGGGGACATTTTCAAGATTTAATTCTAGAACAACAAGTCAAGTTGCACTGGATACAGTGCACAAGTACAAAAGGTAGCAAGACATTACAAAGAGATGCCTTTCTAATGGGAACAACTGACCCAGGAGTGTCACCAGGAAACAGGAAGAAAGAACAGAATGGACATTTATCCCTTTCTAGTTTTTGCATGAGCCAACCATAACAGATATTCAGGTTACTGCTGTAGAAGGAGAGATATTAAGTTAGAATTCTACCCCACAGTCTCTCTAAAAGGTTCATTCCTTAAAAGAAAAAATGGGCCAATCTTCTATGTCACACCAGATGGCAAAATTAGCCAATGCAGAGGAAAGGGCACATGGTGTGAGCCTCTGAGAAAAGGCACTGAAGCTCCACCAAAGACTGTGAGATATAATAACAATCCTCAATCTTCCTCAGAGGTCTGACTGAGGGAAATTTTTCAAGGCCCTGAATTAGATCACCACATTATTTAAATTTTTCAGTCCTGTGTGTAAATATCCACAGAAAAAGAGGAAACATACAGCCAGTGAGATACTTACTCAGTCCAGTTGAGTGCTGGTGGGAGCTGACGTACAGTCATAACCACACAATTGAGTAACACGGTACATATAATAATGCCAACAAAACATGTGAATAGTAAGTTAAGGGAAAAATGCTACACTATAAAACAATGAAGTTCATAGAAGGTCCTGATTGCCACACAAAAAGCATACAGACATTCAAATAATGACTTTGATTTTGGATATGGTCAGGACTTTTCATGTGTTTTCCAAAGAAACTAATAACAGATCAAACTTGCTTATCTGGGTAAACTTCAGGATTTACATATAAAAATGTTCAGACAGTTTCAGAAGTTAGGACTTTAGTGGGACATAGCATGTTTGACAGAAGAGATGAGAAACATAAATAAATGAAAAAAAATCGTGTACTGTTATTTGAATCTTGAAAAACCTCCATTTTTTTTGCAGCAGCAGGAGGATGGAATAAAGAGAAATGGGCCACAATTCTGTAGTAACTAGGGGGTTTAAGCCTGGGAAAACCATTTGAAAACACTTAATAACCAATTACTAGTGTTCTTTCATAAAAGTTCACCTGTCACCAATAAAACTGTTTGGCTTTTTTTTGTTTAAATGGATATGGTTCTTAAATTTAGAGTTAATTTGAAAGTGAATAGCAAATTTAGTAATTTCTTATAGCAGGCATACACATTCAAAGTCAGACATAAGTTCCATTAAAAAATCTATTTTCACAAAATAATAATTCCAAATGAAAACAGATGTTTAGCAGAAAATGCAGAAACTACTCACTTGGTGGTTTTGCATCTGCAAATCCTTCACATTCTGACATTCTCCAAACTACAGTTACATTGTTACAAAAATACAAAAGACGGGCACTCTTCAGAACATTCTAAACTTGAGTGTGGAACACATTTCTTAGGAGAACATGAGACTCTTCCAGCAAAGCTTCACCATAAATCCCATCTTTCATATCTTAAAAACAAGGGAGTCCCTGGTTTGCTTTGTTTGTTACTTTGTGTTTTTAATTTAACCTTGTGACCACATCAGAGATTTCGAACAAGTTCAGGAAAAGGGCTACAATGTCATACAATAGCCTCTAAAGGTTGTTTCACACCAATATCTGCAAAATTGATTTTAAATATCAGCTTTTTCACATTTTCACCAACATTATGCAAATATCTCAGCTGTTGTAACATTAGATTCAATAAAACTTTTAAAAAATCTCTGTCACAGCCATATAAGCTCTACATTCACATTAATATAAAGAGAGGAACAGAATGACAGAAAATGATACAGAATATTTTAAAATTCAAATAAGGGAAACCAATGAAAGGATATGAATTGGTCAGAATTTTAATTGCTGCTTTTCTGACTGGATTGAAAGGACCAAATATACACAAGGCAGGTGTGGCAGTAAACCGGAAAATAGTCCTCCTTTTATTTAGCACCATAAAAGTCTAAAAAGAAAAGATTTATAGGATATAGAATATGTAAATGAACTAATTTTTTTTGCCATTTAATTGAGGAGGGATTCCAACAGCATCTACTTTAGACACTCCCCCAGGCAACAACACCAACCCCTTTGCAATCGCATGGAGGATTTGCAATATAAATATGGCACAATAAACAAAGCCAACGAGACATAAAATAACAGAAAATTAATTCACAACAATGCAAATACATAGTTTTGCTACGCAGAGTGCTGGAAATATCTCAAATATGCCTCCCCTAATTGGTATAATCTTTGTAATTCAGTGAAAGCATCTGCAGTTCCAGCATGATCTACTCTTGGACAGGCACTGTTTATACCACAGGGAGTTCAGCCTCACAGGCATCATAGGAATTGCTCTGCAAAACAAAGCATCCCTTATCCCAGAATATATTTCCCGTAGAAGTGTATCAATCATGTGTATTATGTCCTCATAATTAAAATCTGACTGTTGACTGGAACTGAAGATACCTCTTCATAGCATAAAGCAGAGCACACCTTAGCACTCCTGCCCCAAAAGATGTCAGGAATGTTGAAAGACCTGTCTGCACAACAATCAAAACCCAGCATCTCCCAGCTAGAGCTTTTACTATCTCTTAAGAGTTCAGCAGACAAAGTTAAAGCAAAGAAATGCTTTTGGAAGTTTTAACCTTGTGGTCACTGTAGTATGGATCAAAATCCTCCAGTGGTTCCCCAATGAGCTCTGATGGAATGTCCCCATAAAGGGATGGCAGCTTTTTGCAGATTTTCAAATCAAGCTGGGGAGTAAGTTGTTCTGCTTCAACTCCTTGGTCCTTATGCTTCTCTTTTTCTTTGTCTGGCTGCTTTTTTTTCTCAGCAATTCTTTGCTCAATTGCAGCCAAGGACTCAGGGGTGAAACGTCGAAAGCTGTTAGTTTCTGATGGCCAACACCAGCGATCCATTTTTCCTTCTGAAGGTTTGTTTCCAGTGCTAGAGGCAATTTAAGAAAAAAAGCTATTAATAATTAGAAAATAACAGAAATAATACACAGCTTTAAACTATCTATTAGATAAATTATTTCTTCTATGAAACCCTGCATGAAAATAGAACAGAGTAGAATAGGAATAGACTGTTTCAGTTGGAACGGACCCACAACAACCATCCAGTGCAACTGACTGAGCAATTCAGGCCTGTGAGGTAATGGATAGGGTTAAAAATTAAAAGAGAATAAGAATTACAGAGAAGACCCAGCTGCTGCTTCCTGAATGGAGCATGGTCACAATGCCCCACAATAGTTCCCCAAAAACAGTGATAAACACCTGTTATGTGGGATGAAACGGAGAAGGGAGTAACATGAAGGCACTACAGCCTCCCTTCATAAAGATCCTGCAGGAAGGGAAACATGGTGACACTTTGTAGTTCAAAGACTGTGTCATATCTGCCCACCGAGGAATATAGATGCCAAGGATGACTACCCAATTAAGTATTTATGACTAGATTCACTCAAACTCCACCTAAACTTAAGGAAATAGTATAAAATGAAGTTGGAAATGGAGAATGGTTGGAGGAAGATTTCCACCAATACTGCTGGATAATATGCTCCCTAATATACTGGTAGATTGTTTTGTATTAGATCTTGTGTTTGTGCTTGCTTTATAGCACTGTTAGATTGTTTTTAATGTGTTTTTGCAGGTAGACACTATCACCGACGACCTATGAATCTTATCAACCTGCCACGATTTGTATTAAAGAGTATTCTTCTGTAAACTGTTAGGGTGAGCCATATAAAGTGTTGTTAGCACTTTATAAGTGCTGACAGTTTGCCAGTAGCGGAACAACACTCGGAAGGCCCACTGAGGGGCCCTCCCCGATAAAGGCAATTGATCTTGAGAATCTTGTGAATCTTGTTTGGTGAAGAGTCCCCTTGTGGGATATCTGACACACTGATCAGACATACATGGTTTCATTTTCCCTGGGTCACTAACAGAAAAATGAACCCCTGTGGGTCGAGAAAATCTCCCCTCTCTAATGGTTGGGCGAATTTCCTCCTGTCTTTCGTGTGACAAGGCCTGACTATGTTGAAGCCTGTTAGTAAGGGCACTCACTGTCCAAGTGTAGGGGTTTATATTACAGGAAAAGTGACGAAAGGCATTATGGGACTTGTAGTCCTTCAGTACTCTGTTGCACATGCTCGATGGAGTGCTCGAATGTGATTGGTGGAGAAGGTCACATGTTATGATGTATCACGGTTTGAACTGTCTATATAAGATTTTCTTGTTCTTAATGAAATTGATTCCGTTGCCCACGCCCAGAGTGACGGGGACTGTGAACCCAAATGCTACATCCAAGTGCCTCTTGAGCACTGACAGGCTTGGGGCATTGATCACCCCTCCAGGAAACCTGTTCCAGTGTTCAACCACTCTCTTGGTAAAGAAAGGCTTCCTAATGTCTCACCCCAACCCACCCCCAGTGCAGCTTTGTACCATTCCCACACATGCTGTCACTGGATACCAGGGAGAGAAGCTCAGCACCTCCCTCTCCGCTTCCCCTCCTCAGGAAGCTGTAGAGAGTGTTGAGGTCATCCCTTGGCCTCCTCTTCTCCAAACTAGACAAGTCCAAAGCCCTCAGCCCCTCCTCACAGGACATTCCTTCCAGCCCTCCCACCAGCTTTTTTGCCCTCCTCTGGGTGCATTCAAGGACTATCACATCCTTCCTAAATTGTGGGGCCCAGAATCGCACACAGTGCCCCATGTGAGGCCACCCCTGTGTTTGCTCTGTTTGATGCACCCAGGATATAAGGCTAGAATTCTGTGCAGAGCAACAGCTCACCGTCACTAATACTATCTTTCAGCAGAAAGATAGTCTGAAGACAACCTGGATGCATCCTAGATCTAAGTATTGGCACCTCATCGATTATGTCTTGGTGTGACGGAGAGATGTCCGCGATGTCCACCATATCCGCGTGATGCCCAGCGCAGAATGCCAAACAGACCATCAGCTGGTGCGCTGTAAACTCAATTTCAAGCTCAAATTCAAACCAAAAAGGGGCAGCATCCCAAGGAGAAGACTCCAAGTTAACAATCTCCAATCAGCCACAGTAAGAGACAGTTTCCAGGCAAACCTTCAAAGTTGGCTCGAAAACATTCCCACAGTTTCTGCAGATTCCTCTCCTGAAACAATCTGGCACCATATTAAAAACAGCATCCTGCAATCCTCTGAAGAATCCTTAGGGTTCTCCCTCAAGAAGAACAAGGACTGGTTTGACGAAAACAACCAAGAAATCCAAGACTTGTTGAGGAAGAAGAGAACCGCCCACCAAGCACACCTTGCACTGCCATCCTGTCATGCAAGAAAAACAGCCTTTCGTCTTGCGTGCAGCAAGCTCCAGCAGAAACTCCGTGACATCCAGAACAAATGGTGGATCGATCTAGCGAAAAAAACTCAATTATGCGCAGATACAGGTGATCACAAAGGTTTCTATGAGGCCTTGAAAACAGCATACGGGCCTACATACCAGTTACAAAGTCCCCTACTCAGCGCTGATGGGCAAACGCTTCTAACAGACAAAACCTCCATTCTGAATCGTTGGTCTGAACACTTTCAGACTCTTTTCAGTACCAACCGTATAGTCCAAGATTCAGCAATTCAGTCCATCACACAACAACCAGTAAAACATGAACTGGATACTGCCCCCACTTTAGGAGAAACCCTCAAGGCCATACAGCAGGTGAAAATCGTCAAGGCAGCTGGGATTGATGGAATTCCACCTGAAATCTGGAAACATGGGGGCCTTGCACTCCACACCAAATTTCATGAGTTTGTGGTGTGCTGTTGGGAGCTCGGTGAACTACCATCAGACCTTCGTGATGCAGTCATCATCACCTTGTATAAGAAGAAAGGTATCAGATCAGATTGCTCAAACTATCGTGGTATTACTCTGCTCTCCATTGCTGGCAAAATCCTGGCAAGAATACTCTTGAACAGACTAATACCCACTATAGCAGAAGGAATCCTTCCTGAAAGTCAGTGTGGCTTCAGAGCCAACAGGAGCACCACAGACATGGTATTTGTTCTCAGACAACTGCAAGAGAAGTGTAGGGAACAGAACAAAGCTCTCTATGTAACCTTTGTCGACCTCACCAAGGCTTTTGATACTGTGAGCAGAAAAGGTCTGTGGCAGATTTTGGAACGCTTAGGTTGTCCCCCCAAGTTCCTTAAAATGATCATCTCACTCCACGAGGATCAGCACGGCCAAGTCAGATATGACAACACACTTTCTGAGCCCTTTTTAATTAAGAATGGTGTGAAACAAGGCTGCGTTCTCGCTCCTACCCTATTCACCGTCTTCTTTAGCATGATGCTCCAAAGGGCCACAGCAGACCTCGATGATCAGGACGGGATCTACATTCGATACCGTACTGATGGAAGTCTATTCAATCTAAGGCGACTGAAGGCCCACACCAAGACCTTAAACCATCTTGTCCGGGAGCTGCTCTATGCTGATGACGCCGCCCTTGTGGCCCACACAGAAGCAGCTCTGCAGCGTTTAACATCCTGCTTTGCAGAGGCTGCTGAGCTCTTTGGACTGGAAGTCAGCTTAAAGAAGACTGAGGTCCTCCATCAGCCTGCACCTCAAGAAGTCCCCCATCATCCCCACATCACCATTGGTCAATCAGAGCTCAAATCAGTCCAACAGTTTAATTACCTCGGTAGCCTCATCTCCTCAGATGGTAAGATCGACGGAGAGATAGACAACAGGTTAGCTAAGGCATATAGTGCTTTTGGAAAACTCCACAAAAGAGTATGGCGTAATAAACACTTGAAGAAAAGTACAAAGATCAGTGTTTACAAAGCCATAGTGTTGTCGACTCTCTTATATGGCTCCGAATCATGGGTCATCTACCGCCACCACCTGCGTCTCCTAGAACGCTTCCATCAATGCTGCCTCCGCACAATCCTAAACATCCACTGGTCAGACTATGTGACCAACACATCTGTTCTAGAACAAGCAGCAGTCACAAGTATTGAGGCCATGCTGATGAGAACACAGCTGCGTTGGGCAGGGCACGTCTCCAGGATGAAGGACCACTGCCTCCCTAAGATCTTGCTCTATGGTGAACTTGCCACTGGCTGCTGCAAGAGAGGAGCCCCGAAGAAAAGATACAAGGACTCCCTGAAACAACATCTCAGCCTTGGCCATATTGATCAACATAACTGGTCTACTCTGGCCTCAAATCGAGAGGCCTGGAGACACACCATCTATAACGCAGCTGTCTCCTTCGACAACACTCGCAGGATCACTCTTGAGGAAAAAAGGCAACGCAGAAAGAACCGTGTATTGCAGAATACACCATCTAAGGAGTCTTTCTGCTGTGCCTTTTGTAATTGGATATGTCTGTCACGTATTGGCCTCATAAGCCACCAGCGTGCCTGCAGCAAATGTGGATAGAGCCTTCCCAAATCTTCGTTCGCGAAGCCTAGCCATGAGGATAACGCAAAACCAACTAGAAGCTCATTCATTTAGAAGAAAGAGTAATGTAAAACAAACCCAACAAAGATCAACACCTGATTCTTGATCTACCTTGTGTAATTCAGGTTACAGAAGTGATATTTTTTTCCTTTTCAGCTAGGAAGTGAAAAAATCACATCTCTATCAGAACTCTGACAGCCATCAAGTTGTTTTTCTCTGTAGATGCTTAAAGTATCAGCAGCCTTGCACCTCAGTTACTGTCTCTCTGTACTTCCTGAAAACAGATTTTAGTTCTGCATCTCCCACACCTGTTTCTTATATGCGGTCACAGAATGGTGGAATTGGAACGGTCCCCGAGGCTCATCAGATCCTTCCCCTCCACAAAGCAAGGCCAACACTGAATTTGGCTGAAGGCTTTCTGCAGTTGCATTTTGAGAACATTCCAGGGGAACTTTACAGTTTATCACACTATTGTAGATGACAATAATTTATGCGAAAGATGGAAAAAAAAATTGACTCACTACAGGACAGGATGTCTTGTCCTTTGTGACTGATTACTCCAAATTAATAAACACTTTGGTCACCACCGAGTCTTTAAAATATTGCATTTTTGATTGCTGAGGTCCAGCTGTGCTACTTCTGTTTTGCGAGCTCATATGTGGACCATGTAAGAGAATCAATACCCTCTTGTAATTACAGGACTCTTCTTCAGATGCCAATATATACCTTTAAAAAGGATATACAAGCAAGAATGATTGTGCAACGATTTTATTTGGGTTTATGGGACTTGGGTGGTTTTTCTTTTCCTCCTCTGGGACTTTACAAGTGAGTTCAGATCTGATCAGAAACCACAGCTCAGAGATTAGAATTTGCCATGGTAACAAAATGGAACCAAAGAACTGGTACTTTGCCAAACCACACAGACCCATTTCCAGTTGAAAGCTCAAAAGATAAAGTGAAAATCAAGATGCTCTTTCTTTTTTTTTTTTTTTTTTTAACTTTTAATAATTCTAAGATCAATTTGATCTTCAAAGCAATTTTAAGGACAATAGAGAGACTGAGCTTTTAGGGAACTACATTGGCTGTAATGAATGAAGCAAAGGAAAAAGTTTTAGCAAATACAAACATTGTTTTAGTATTAAGGATTTGGGAGATGAATTTTTGAAAAAAAAGTGAAGACTGAATCTGACAAAAGCAGTGATCAAGAGCAGAAAAACCTTCAGCAACAGTGACCAGAAGTCATAATTGGACAAGCATTCATGGACAACGTGAGAGGATTTCTTCAACAGACCTGTACCAGCCACATACTAGTGCTCATATAGAACAACAAACTTTTTGGCCTTTCAACAGCTGCCAAGTATTTACGGGTTGTGACTTGGGTTAGGAAAGAGGAAGCTAAGAATATGTGACTGAAAAAAATCCTTGTGATCCAGGTGGCTAAATCATTTTAAAAAGACAGAGTGACTACTCAGAATTCCTGAAGCTCAGCTGAACTCAGCCACCTCATCATAGGCTGCTGAACCAGCTGAATTTTTAAGGCAAGACACTGAGGTAAAGTGTTACCTGAGGAATTCCACAGAGACTGATCAAATTTACTGAACAAATGATGTGCAAAGCAATAGAAAGGGGTGAATAAGAAGTCATTAAATGAAGCAGACAATGGGCAGTACTAAAGTACAATTTCCTATTAAAATTTCTTAAGATAAAAGCTGGGGTTTAGGATAATTTTCTAGAATAGCAAAGTAGTGCCAAAAACCGAATCTATTAATACAATGTTTCAGAGACACAATTTACAAGATGCTTCCTGGGGCAATGACTTATCACTAGAGATGATAACTAACCCATTTAGACTTTTGGATTGAAAAACAAAATACAAATTCAAGCCTTTTACATAACTCCTTGATTTGGTTCCATTTATACAAATTTCAAAACTCCTTTCAGTTCCCTAAAAGCACAAAGAGTTCCTTTTAAGTGTGGCAAGGTAGCAGCAATCAAACTATTGACCATTAGATCTCCAACAGTCCATAAAAGTGGAATTTAAACTCATAGAACTGCACAGTAAAACATGAGCAAAGTCCGTAAGGGACATTTTGAGGAGTTTCTCAAGATAGGAAAACTGGTAGGAACGTAAACATAAAAATGCCCTTGTTTATGTTTCAATCTAATTTTAGCATGTATTATAACCACTTCTGAGTCAAACTATTTCTATCCATTCCCTTCTCAAGAGCCACCCACCAAATATTTCCTGGATTTGAAAAAAACAGAGTAAACTAACTGCTCATTTGGTGTTAGGATGCATTTAGCGGATTCTTCACATGGGAACAAAGATGTGTTCGTCCCTTCATCTGGAATAAGAAAAAATGAGAAAACAGCTCAGAGCAACACAGCTCAGAGCTTAGGAAACAGGACAAGAATTCTCTCTTTTCTGTGCTGTACAATACCTTGCCAAAAGCTACAGCTGTCACATACTCATTTTCATAAAGACTAAATACTTCTGCTCAATAATTATCACAATTTTCTTTATTTAAATCTCAATAATCATCAGCAGATCTAAGAGATTTTAGTCCTTTATAAAATCAAACTTGGACGTTCTAAAGGACTACGGTTGTTTCAAATATTCACGGCCATTTCTTCCAACTAGCACTTTATCCCTCGTTCTCTACTTCACACTTGCTCCCTCAAACCAAGAAAAACTTTGTGTTTGGATTGTTTGGATAAATATCTACCTCTTGGCTGCCTGAGGGGGTTTCTTTAGGGGATGTTGTTTGGTTTGGTTTTTTAACAAATGTAATATACCAAGTTATTCAAAATATCCAAATAATAACATGCAATATAATACAATATGCTATAATATAATCACTCATTACTTCCAAAATCTGAAATGTATGCAACAGGCTGGACTGTGCACTCCGTAAATATCCTGAAAAAAATCACCCACCAGCATTTTTGTAAGAAAAACATTCCAGACTTGTGTATGTAAAGAAAATTCGCTATGTCAAGATGAGTATAACTAAGATTAAACAGTACTACAGCTGATTTGAGGAATGCCATGCATAAGCTGAAACAACAAAACAAGACAAAAGGCAGTCAGTAATTAATATGAAAAATATAACAATATTTAGTAGAATGTTTTCCTGACACATGGATGTTATAGGAAGAGCTATATATTTACAGCAATACAGTGATTCTACATTAAAGGCACATTTTCTTATGCAGCTGCTCCCTGTACCTCAAATAAACAACATCTAAGACTTAAAAACCTATGTCTACATGTTTTTATATGTATAGACACACAATTGTACACACATATCCCTGAATATTTTGATCAAATTCACATAGATATAAATTAAGAAAATAGGCAATTGAGATTTCACAGAGTATAAAAATATTTAGCAAAACCAAAATACTTACAGCATTCTCTTCAAAATAAAAAACCTTCACACTGCTTTCTGAAGCTAATGTTGTCTGGTTTTTATCTCCAAAGAGGCAGAAAGTCTGTTTTCTCACCTTCACTATTCTATTCCCAAGAACATCCTTGCTCCCTGGCCATCTCCCATGCAGAAAGTTTTCTTATGTACTGCAATGCCTGGGGGAGGGATGGAGGGAGGAGCTTGGTTACATTTCTGACAATAGTAAATGAAATTTTGTGATCTCACTGACAATACTGTACAAGAGGGAAAATGCTTGGGTGATACTTTGGAAGAATAATCACCTAAGTATTAATCCATTATTTTCTTTCTGCTGAAATTATAGTTACACTTATTAAAAGCAAAGACGGATTTTAGTTCAGTTGGAAATACATGTGTAAAATATAAGAAAGCAAATGGTTTCCTGTTTCACATTTCATTCTGAGTTTTTAACCAGATGAATTTTCAAGCATGCATTAAATATTGGCACCAAATTTACCTTGTAGCAAAAGCTTTTGGTTAGAAATTAGAGTTACATACTATTCGTTTTTATTCTGTCTTTTTTATTTTTTAATATTCCCAGGCTATGGTGTATGTTCATTACACCTTTTACAGACAAAATCTGAAAGTCAAATATACTGTCTCTTATATACAAGATCAGAGCCCAAAATACATTAAGTATCACATTATAAAACCCCACAACATTTATCCTCAGATCTGAAATTGCTTGTATTTATTTAAATGAATGTATAAAGCCTGCTAGCAACAGGTATTGGACAGTAACACAAACACATTAATGGCAAGCCCTGGTGGTAAGTACAGATATTGCTCTTAGTTACATCAACAGAATCCATTACTCTCTAATTTTTTTTTCTTCTTTACTGAGGCGGATATAAAACTTTCCTGACAATAAGGGAGTTACTGTGGGCTTTGCTGGAAGAATTCTATTGAAAGAACTATGCTGTCCTTAAAAGCCAGGCTGCTCTAATGCAGGCAAACACACAAACAGTGATCAAACACTTTGCTTGATAGGTACCATCAAGGAAGGAAACAACTAAAAGTGGCTTTGAAAGAGATAAAACCCTAAGTGTTCTGTGGGGCAAGCAATAATAAGACATTTTAAGTTGCAATGTAAGTTATTTTTCCAGAAAGCAAGAGTATGTTCTTGAGATCAGTTCAATTAAGAGTATCATCAACTTTTATATCTGTAAATCTAATCCTGAAATTTGCATACTGACCTAATTCTATAGCCTATCCACATATTATTCACTCAAGCACAGGAAGTTTAAGTAAGAAAGTATTTTACAGAGAGAAAACACACACATTCATCAAAGTTCAATGGAAAAATAAAACTCATTTTACTTCCAGGCTAAAAACTTCCAGTGACTTCAATCATAACAGTTGAAAATAAAATAACCGAAGCCTGAAAAGACATTTCATATTTTCAAGGAATGGATGCTGCAAAACAAAGTCATGCTCTCCACAACTAGATCATGTCATCCACTCATGAAGAATTCTATTGAATTTCAAATAAATATCTTTCTGAGTGTTTTAATTTAGGTCAAGAGTCTCACAGAGACAGATCATGACTGTTAATTACAGAGTTTATTGCACCTCCTGGTTACAGTTCGGTGTCCATTAGACAGCACTGACCACAAGTGAGTCTGAGACAAACACAGTGATGACAATGATCCTCCATTAAAACCACCAAATTCAAATCACTGTTCACAGAGAAACTCACACAAAACACAGGAGGAACCATTTACATGTTGTAAACCTGAACAACTGATTCCATGACAGACAGATTTTCTCAAAAGAAAATCATAGAGACTTACAGATGAATGAGAGCTTTAATGCTCGGTGGGTGTTCAAGTTGAAGTTAAAATCCATCAAATGTGGACCAAACAAATGGAACAAGTATTTAACAGGACAGACAATTAAGTACCAAAACAACTTGTGAACACTTGTGTCCTTCTCAAAAACTCAAACCCATTAGTGTCACATCACTTTACACCTTTGTTTTTGCATCCCCACCTGGCTCTATATACATATATATGAACACATATGTACACAGGGAATTCATAACAGATTTGCATAGGGAAATAATTCTTTATAACACAGATCTGGAGCACTGTAACAGTTGTTAACTCTGATGCTTACAGTTCATAAATGATATTTCTTACAAATTTGTCATGAAGGAACTTCACTGCTCAGCAATAAAATTTCATACTCTTTGATAATTCAAGCATTTGCATTAGATACACTTGCCATGAAAATTACTTGCAGAGATTTCTCTTTACTGCAGCTGCAACTTCAGAGAATTTGCAATCCTCCTTCCATTCCCTAACCAAAATTGGCATACAGGGAATGCCATTCCCGCAATTTGGGAAACACTATAACCTCTGGCAGATCCCATTAAGAGTGATTTCTAAGTAATGCACACACATTTATTCCAATACAACCTCAAAGGTATCCTTCATGGGTTGAATTAATTCAATTGCTGGCCAGAAGCTTTGGGATTCTCCTTCATTTCAAGGCTGACTAATTGCAAGACCTAGATGAGATTCCAGGAATGTCTTACAAAATCTCATAACCCTGGAACAAGAGTAATATGGGACACCAGGCAAAAAAAAAAAAACCAAAAAAACCAAAAAACCCAACCAAACAAAACAAACAAACAAACAAACAAAAAAACCAAACAAACAGGAAAAGAAGTGGAGAAATCCACTTGGAACATAGAATAACTAAATATTACATACAAAATAAAACCAAAAAGAACACACAGAGAAACTGATATCATGCAAAATATCTAAAGGCATGAGTCTGTCACAGAAAAAAATGAGGGGCTCTGGCAAATACATATCTGTGAGGTAAACAAAAGGTGCACCCCAGACTGTCTTAGGAAAGAATTTAAGTGTGTAAAGTACATGGTGTATTTGTCCAGACACTAATTTGCATGTTTGACATTTCCTCTTTTTTCGTGCTGAACAATGAAATAAGAAATCACACAGACACGAAATTTGGTATTTGGTAAATAGCTAATTGACTTTACAGAACAACAGGAAATAGCTTTTATGGGAAGTACACATTAAATGCATTGTTACACAAAGTAGCTCTCTGCCTAATGATCTAATGTACACTGAAGAAGTCTGAAAATTATGTCAGTGCCTGAAATTCAAGTTATTCCCTCTGTTCCTTCTTAGTGTTCTGGAAAACAGTATTAGTATTCTTGAAGCTTTTTCATTTCTCAAGAGTAAGATGCTAAAAGCAAAATATTGCTCCTACAATCTCTAAAAGATTTTCAGCGTTTCTTGTAGTCTTGCTAAGAGAGTTTATGAGATCTGACCTTTTATTGCATGGCTCCCAACATAACACAACAATGAAATGACAAATGTAAGAGCCCTAGCCACTTGGTTTCAAACCTATTTGTTGCTGTAGCTCCCTGTAAAGTTAAACTTCAACATGTCAAGAATACAACTTGTAAAAACTATGTAATACCAAACATCTTTACAAATTAAAAACCAACAAAAAGCCCCACAGAATCACAGAATAGTTTTGGGCAGGAAGAGACTTCAAAGATCACCTAGTGCCAACCCTCCTGCCCCTTCCACCAGACCAGGTTCCTTGGAGTCCCACCCAACCTGGCCTTGAATATTTCCAGGGATGGGGCATCCAGAGCTTTCCTGGGCAACCTGTATCAGAGCCTCACAGGGAAGAACTTCTTCCTAATACCTAATCTAAACCTTCCCTCTGTCAGTTTGAAGCCATCCCCCCTTGTCATCGCTTGTCCTGTCACTACACAGCACTACTTGTAATTAGTCCCTCTCCATCTTTCCTGTCATCTCCCTTCAGGCACTGGAAGGCCACAATCAGGTCTCTGCTGTGAGTGCACATCGATGGCTCGTGTCCAGCCTCTCACCCACCAGCACCCCCAAGTCCTTCTCCAGAGGGCTGTTCTTGATCCATTCATCCCCCAGCCTGGATTGATACCGGGCATTGCCCTGTCCCAGGTGCAGCACCTTGCACTTGGTTTTGTTAAACCTCATGAGGTTCACATGGGCCCACCTCTAGAGCTTATCCAGGTCCCTCTGGATGGCATTCCATCCTTTTGGAGTATCAAGTGCACCACTCAGCTTGGTGTCATCTGCAAATCTACTGAGGGTGCACTTGATTCCTTTGTCTGTGTCATTGATGAAGATATATGTAGGGATAGATACATTTTTGGAACAATTTGTGACGGAAAGTTAGAAAGTCAGTTTTTGCTAGGAAGGCTTTCTGCCTAAATGGTAACTCTTTCTCCAAGGCAATTTCAATGCTTTTCCCCCTGCATAGCAAGAGAAGTTCTGAGTCTTTCTCTCTGATACGTGAGAGGAGATAGTCCGGACATACACAGAGGCCTTGGGAAGGCAGAGTAGAAACAGAGAGGATAAAAGGGGCCCTGAGGGGGTGGGAACTCACCTTTTTTCCTGGGAGGCCTGATGCTCCATATCATAAATAACTGGTTCTTGAACTGGAAATAAACCTTTTTTTAAATCCTTCCACTGCCTTGGAATTCTTGGGAAGAATACATGAGTATTTTCGCCTTACATTTTTGGTGTAGAATTGGCAGTTCCCCAGAGTAACCCTGCAGTGGTTGCGGAGGAGATCAAGGACTGGGGGGCCATGTCACCGGCCCCCTGTGTCATGAGACATCTTCAGCCTCTGTAGCTGCCTTTTTCACCACAGTGTCTCTCCTGGTAGCCTGGCTTGCCTTGAGGTCTGTGACAGGGGCGGGCCAGGTTGGATGGGTTCTGCTGACTGGATTTAAAGCCCTGGACCAGGAGATTGTGTCTTTGTGGGGCCAAGTAGTGGCCCAGGAGCAGCAAATTGATGGCCTGGAGCGTTAACTACGCTTGGAACATGCAGCGTTAGAGGCTTTTGGCCAGCAGGGTCGGGAGCTGGAGCTTTTGGTGTCCCGCACCGCTGGCACACGGTCAATGGAACAGGGTGCAGGTACAGTCTTGCCTACCCGAGCTTTCGCCCGTATGGATCCCTCTGGGGGTCCAGGGAGGTGGGATGGAAGTATTTTGACAGAGTCTTTGGTCTCTGAATTTGACTGTAGGCCTAGGCCAGCAGACATTGGCCTAGTGCAAGCCCAACCCCCAGTGAGGCCACTTTTGCTCAGTGGGGCGGTGTGGACAGCAAAGGCGTGTTCCCCAGAGGCTTTGAGACAGTCAGGACAGAGATGGGGCCTTTGTGTACGGGAAGTTTTGCTCCCCGCTCCTTCCCCCCCAGCTGTTCAGAGCTGTCTCTCCTGGCGGGGACTGGTGTGGGGGCGCTGGCTCTGCTGGGCTGCTGTGGGGCCCATCCTTGGGCCGCAGGGGTTGGCGGCCCCAGCCCCACTTGCCGGGCTTCTGACACTGAGAAGGACTGTCTAGTTTGTTTTGGTTTTCTGGTGTGTGTTGGCCCCTTTGATGGATCTGTTTTGAGTGCTACTCGGGCAAAGATGATTATCTGCGAGTGTTCCATTTTGGTCAAGGAGGGGGTAAGCGGCGGCCCTCAGCTGCCAGGGCAGGAAGATAAAAACACCTTGGTCATGTCTGCCTGCTCAAAACTCATATAGTGTTTGGGAGGCAGCTGTTACATATGACCTTGTGGACACAGCCCACCATTTGCTTCTTTGACAGGTGCCTGCCTTAACCCACTCCCCTCTGCTTCTGTCAAGGACGTAGTGGTCTGTGACTTTATTCTAAAGTTTTTGCAATCAATTTAATACCCCTGGGCAGAAGTGTGCAAGTGTGACACCTCATTCACCGAAGATTGACCACATTTTAAACCACACTAAATGCTGCCATCTAATGGCACCTGATCACTGAACAAAAGCTGTTGGCTCAGTCCAGCTCTCAAAGAACAAAATAGTTTCACCTCACAAGCATCACTCTGCATGATACATGATACAACACAAGCTGGACAGGAGCAGGTCTCAAGCAGAGCCACCAAATATCTCTGCATCCCTCTGCCCAGTGTGGCAGCTCCAAAGGGCAAATTCCTGAGTTATGCTAAGAGGTCCCATTTCCTGGAATGGTGACTCCACCAGTTCCCTGGGGAGCCGATGCTCAACCATAATAAAGCCCATTCAAACCATACTGTATCTGGACTCTTAAACTCTTAGCTTTCCTGTGTCTTTATTTGTCCTGAAATTATTTTAGATTTAACAATATCTGTCATATTTAATAGTATTTAACACAGGAAATGACAGTAAATATTGAGTAATTACCTTATTGTTCCTTGAGGCTCTTCTTGGCCTCAAAATGATAAATCTTTTCTGATTCCCTGTAAAAAGTGAAACATTTTCATTTCTTGTGCTAATAGGTAGCTACTTCTGGAAAATTGTATTACCCCTCTAAGAACACTTTATGTCTTGTAATAAATGAAACTGAAGATACTCCTTAGAAAACAGACAAAAACATGTTAAGCATCTGAACTCTTTATTGAAGAATCTAAACCAGTCGTATTTCATTAGTGATCCTGAATCCACCATGACACTTCATCTGAATACCCAAACTGCAAAAGAATCGCTAAAATATTATTACACATTGTTCATGCATTTTTTTTCAGAATCAATCAAATAAATGCTTCCCCTACTTTTTATTAAATGTTGTCTCATAAGATATACCATGAACTCCTTTTCAGAATACTAAGTAATGCTTTCTATGACATTTGGATGATGATGAAAATTTATGTACAATGATTCTCAAGATTTTCTGGAAGCAATACCCCTTGTATAACATCCTTTGATTTTGGTACCTATGATTTTCATACACTGATTGAGACAAAGAACAAATTATGTACAACTTTTATGCACAGGCAACTGAGGATGATCTGCTAAATCCATTTAGGTGCACATATAAAGACACCTCCAAAATTCTTAAGCATAAACAAATCCACCCAAACATGCTAGGAGGAGGATGGTCCCAAAACCATCAAAGTTAGAGGCTGATTATACTCGAGTGTCCTGAATGAGCTCTATTACAGAAGTGTAGTAATTAGTTAATTTTGCTACAATAAAGCCTAGTTGGAAATACTGATTATCTCTAAAGACATATACATTATTCTAGAGCCTTGTGTGTTTATAAATCTATGCTCACAACTGATGTTTTATGGATTTCTTCCATAAACACATGAACTAGGACAAAACTGGCAGGTGAAAAAATTAACCCACCTACTCCAGTAACAGACAAAAACGTTCTATGGTTTGATATTCCTCCAATATTTACGACATAGTTGTTCAGATCTTAATGATTTTAAGGAGAATTTGCAAATTTGAACAATCACAATGCTTGAAGGCTGCCATCATTATTCTAAATTCAGAGTATTATGCTCTGGGATTCACGAATTGTCTCCATCTGAAAATCAGTCACTTTGCTTTAAATGTCAAAAATGCTGCAGCCTGGGGTAACCTTATGTGCCCAGCTTATTGGTTTCAGCAACAGCATCATAAAGTCAAGGGAGAGATGTGGAAGAAACAGACCGTGATTTATGTATCTTCCTGCCACTACTTTCATTAAGCATTGATACAATAAGCCTTTGCTTCTCCCGCGTTTCTTCTCCAAAGACAGCACTGGTCTGTCTGTGACGGCATAAGAAAGATGTACTTTTGAAAGAACACTGTATCAAATACCTCCTGAAGGCCCTTTGGATAATAACTGCTGATACCTCCTCTTGTTTTCTCTTAAATGTAGAAGAAATTGGCCTGTGAGATCTTTTTGATGGATTGGCAGCCACAAATTTTTCTTCAATCAGTAATTTAAGTGTATCAAAATCTCCACATTCTCCCAAGACTCGTTTACTGAAAGCAAGCAAGATATCCAAGCAGTGGATCTTATCTCCACTCACTAGAGGGAGGTCCATGGATATGAGCTGGATGTTATTGGGCTTTGGAATGCGCAAGGGTTCTGCCAGAGCATCTGCAAAGTCTGAAAGAGCAGAATAGTCAATAAACTGTGTTGCCAGAGGATCAAATTTTCCCCAGGTCTCATAAAACATATCAAAGTCCTCCTCACAAAGAGGATCTGTGCTTTCTACAGTGGCAATATTGAAGTTCTCTAAAATGACAGCTATGTACATATTTACAACAATGAGAAAAGATATAATGACATAGCTTACAAAATAAAAAATACCAAATGCTCTATTTTTGCAAGTAGTTTTATCTGTCTCTGTTAAATTTAAGTTGGGAGCACATGTACCAGATTCACTTAACAAAGGGGCCAAAAGAGTATCCCAGCCAGCTGATGTTGTAATTTGGAAGAGACAGAGAATGCTACCAGAAAAGGTTTGAAAGTTGAAAATGTTATCAATCCCACCTTCCCAGGGAAGACAGGCAAAGTTTGCCATGCCCACAATGGCATAAATGAACATAATTAGGAAAAGCAAAAGGCTAATGTTGACCAGTGCAGGAAGAGACATCAGTAATGCAAAGACAAGTGTTTGAATTCCTCTTGCTTTTCGAACCAATCTCAGGATTCGGCCAATTCGCACCAAACGAATAGTTCTCAAAAGTGTAGGAGAGATGAATTTTTGAAAGGCTTCAGAAACTCCAATACCTTTGAAGAGAGAAAGAAAACACATGTTGTCAAGCCATATTAGTCAAATTGTTGTCTGCTTTGTTATATTCTGTGCTTTAGGTGTCAGAAGTAACACTGACCATATTACACCACTTTCCACACAAACATCATCAATACTGAAACTGCTTACAAGACAGCTTAGGAAAAGAAAGACAAATACCTTTCAATATTACAGAGGTTTCAAGATTATGCATACTTTGGAAATTGTATCCTCCCTGATTTCTCTAAGCCAGAGGGTGAAGGTAGGCATTCATTGCCCAAGTATTTAAAAATAAATCTGTTCAACTCCTGTGCTGGAAGCTGTGGGGATTGCCTCCTGGTTGTCATCTGCTGCTTCTTTACAGGCCTGATCACATGCTAAATGTGAGGCTTTGACTAATGCTTGGTACTTGAAGGAGAGCAGAGGAAACCAAGAGGAATGTAAAGGAAAATCGTCTTTTAGCATTTATCCCTCATTACACCCTGTTCTTTGACCCTACTAACAGAGTAAGGATACAGCAGGAATGCAAATGATTACAAACAGAGGAGTTAAGGAGTCATCATTTTCCTGGGTTGCACGGCACAGCAAAGGGTTACTGTGCTTAGGCACAAACCAGAACTCAGAGCAGTTTTTCTTTCCTGTCCTTTATTCTGTGATATAACCTGAGCCTGAGTGGGAAGCACAAACCTAATAAACTGCACAAGAAACTAGAGCTATCTATGACCCTTTGTAGAGGAAATGATCAGCATCTAGTCTTATTTGAAAAGCCAAAAAAGCCAAGTCAGTTTTAATGAGACTTTTCACAGTCACAAGTATTGGTCCAGATTTAGAATGGTGCTGAGCAATTACATTTTCCCGAGCTTTCTAAATCAGCAATCAGGATCTAGCTTCTTTAAAGGAGGTCCTGGAAAAATTAAATACATCTTTCTCATTTTTCAAGCAAATGTATTTTTAACATGAATTTACTTTTACTGTGAAAACAACAGTTACCATGATAACATGTAAACTGAAAGCATAAAGACAGTCAGACAACAGGTTAAGTATAGTAATTTAGAGAAGATGTTAATTAATTAAATTACTTTAATTAATTAATTAATTAATTACTCAATAAAACATACTTTAAGAAAAGTAAAAATTGAAAACTCCATTTACCTTCTAGTACTGTGGAAAAATATAAACAAAAATACATCCTCTAGAAGGAATGACTTAGCATATAGTTTGAAAAAGTACAGTGGATCTGGACTTTGTTTATCAAATATATCTAAGTGGTTACTTCATACTGAAATTTGGCTCAATATTGGTAAGACACATTACCTGATTTAGTGATTGGTACTTACTGACTATTGAAAGGACCACAACACTAAGATCAAACAAGTTCCAGATGCTTTTGAAGTAATGCTGTCTTAAGGCCAGTATTTTTATGACACATTCCGCCGTAAATACAGCCACAAAAAAATAGTTGATTTTATTAAGAACTTCCTTGGTGCCTTCCTGGTTATTTTCTGCCATCATAACAAACATATTTAGGCAGATGAAAATCATGATGATGATGTCAAATGCTTTGTGCATTACGATATCAAACAGCAATCCCAGGAATGCATTCTGTGGAGAGAAAAAGAACTGCATTCAAATATTAATCAGTAATTTGTGCTTGGAAAAGGACCTTAAGATAATATAAATTTAACAATAAGCTACTAGAAGCATTTTTAGGGGATTTCTTTAGATCTTCAGTGAAAACTCACATTGGCATATATATATGTGTATGTGTGTGTGTGTATAAAAAATTAGGAAATACATCCAGAGCACATTGTGATTGCTCTTTTAATAGAAATACTTATTGAAGCAGATATTTTACCATAAGCAATTCAAATTAAAATGTCATAAGCAAGAAAAACTCTGAATAGTTACTATGAAGAGCCAGGTCTGGAATTAAATTTAAGAAACTAAAAGAAATAAAACATAAGAGTATTTAAAAGCAAATAACTGGCATGGGGCATGTACTTAAGTAACCAAGGTCATGGTATGATTATCAAATACTAATTATGAACCTTTATAAACAAGTTGCACTTTTGGATAGGTCATAAATAGGATATAAATTTCCCTAACTAATGCCCACAAACAAAGGTTCTTTTAAGAAAAAGAGAGTAAAATGTAAATACTACATTGAATGAGGAAGATGATGGGCTCTAAGGCAAAGTTTATTTCCCTGTGCCTGGGCTACTGAGTTCAGATATGGTCACCATCGTTGTATCTTCTGCCATGTTCTACTTAAGATGATCTCACCGGTGGTCTTGGGATGGGTTTTTGAGGTTTCTTGGATCCAAGTGTTTTTAGGGCATTATAGTACTTTTTCTGTTCCTCAGTCAAAAATAGATCCTTTCCACCTAAGTAAAGGAAAAGAATATTGTTGTTCAGCTGAAGTTTATGCAGTTCCCTAAATAAATTCCAGCAACTTTCTGTAAAAATGAGTAAGGTACAGCTGTCCTGAGTGGGACCTAAGAGAGCACAGAGACAAACTGTATGTTCACCGTTTCTCCTTTTCCCCTTGATCTTTGAAAAGATGTACTGGAAAGAGTTGATCTGGGTCTGATCATGGAAGCCTAGTCTAGGCAATGTTCCCAAGTCAGTTCTCTCAAGTGTGAGAGCCTTTCTGAAGCTTTACAAATCTATTTCATATTTTAAAAATTACATACGATTCATCAAGAAGGGAAATACTTTCTATTTTTGAGAAAGGTAGAAACAGAAGAGTATTGCTGGACTAGCAGGTAAATGGAGGATGATGGGACCCAGTTCTACAGGGGGTTCCTAACAACGAATTTCGTATTCCCATCTACACCCCCTATATTACTTGTCCCCATCTACACCCCCTGTATTACTTAGCAATCCCTTTGAACCCAGGATTCAGAAGCCACTCATCAATCCTAAAAGCACTGAGTGATCAGCATTTTGTACAACAAACACACAACAATGTTTAGTAGGGCATCTGCAATTTCAATCACTCTGGAAAGACCTCTGAAAATTCCACTTGACTTCACTATATGGATCACAAGAAAAATTCCTGAGAAGCAGCAAAGAAATGATAAAGAAAAAAATGACAATCACAGCATGTACTAAGAAAAAAGTATTACGTCCACATAAACTTCCAGTAAATGTTCTGGCTTATAAACTACTTGACCACTGTTGTTTCTGTCTGTTTGGATTACTGTAACTGGGACTTCATTAGAAAAGGAAATTCTTAGAGTGAAGTTGGACTGTTGTTCCTCAACCCCCACATATCCTTTTCCTGTTCAAATGCAGAGAGCAGAAAAATTTCTTGTGGGCTTTATTGCTCTCTCTCTCTACCCAGAGCAGCAATGCTTTGAGACTTGGTATATGAGTCAGGTTATGGAAATAAAAAAGGGTTCCTGTAGAGATTCTGCCTTCCAAATGTGAATCTTGAAATTGTAAAGCTCCTGTTGGGGTCTGCTTTTTTTGAATGAGCAAGAGGTTTATTTGGTTTAAGTCTTCCAAGTGAAATAATTTACTCAATTTTCCTTTCTATTCTGGATACTTTAACATCTAAATGAATCAGGACAGAACTCAACCTGGTTTTGGCTTCTCATCTCTAAAGATACTCCCTCCTTCCTCCTCCTCCTCTACTTAGAACAAATTAAGGACTTGGCAGGAAAATGGAGTTTACAGGTAAATTGCTAAAAGCCTTGAGGAAATGGGGACTCCTGTTTTCAAAATTTGGTTTCAATTGTTATTGTTTTAAATTTATCCAGATAAACAGTTATTTCAAAATGTTAGACATCTACGTGTCAAACCAGCATTCACTTAAGCAAATTGGGATTACAGGAGACACTGAGTTAGCTCAAGTAGTACTTATCTTTTTCCTTTGTTGGTTAAAATTGCTGATAACCACTCCAACAAAAAGGTTCAGCATGTAGAAAGATCCCAACATAATGAAATTCACAAAGTATAGGTACATGTGTAAGTTTGCTTCAAACTTTGGCTGTTCATCGATCTGTTAAAAAAATGTCAAACCAGAAAAATAATATTGGAAAAAGGATACATTTTCCAATTCCATTTATCATTTCCAATTTATAATAAGTGATTTTTTATTGTCATGAGGGATAAATTATTTCCACGCATTTACCTGGATGTACAGGTAGAACCACTCTCTTGTTCTATCTTGCTACTGATTGTAAAGATAGTGACAAACAGAGCTATAGAGCCCAATGCAGTTTTAGCAAATCTTTAAGTAATAAAGAACCAGTTCCAATCAGAAGGGATCCTGTGAATACCCTGATTAAAAACAACAACTCAGACTAAACATAATGGTGACCAGCCATCCTCTGGAATGCTGTCCCAGACAACAGGCAATTCTAAAGCCCCAGCTCACTAAGATCAGCCCTACAAGGAACAGTCATGTTAATCAGCAGTTATTTCACTAAATTGTCATTTTAGTGACATACCTCACGTGAATCCACTGCTGCATACATAATATCCATCCAACCTTTAAAAGTTGCCTGAAAAAAAATGCATTTTTAATTTTGTTATCACTGAGAAAAAATCGGGTATAGCTAATATAAATGTGTTGATAGTTGTGGGAAAAGGAGCAGTGTGCTATAAAAAAATGTGGATGACTTCTTAAGATCTGCTTGGAAGTATCACTGGAGTTTAGTAAAGAGAAAAAAATATTTCCTGAAAAGAAAACAAAAAAAAAGTATGACTCATGCGAAATGTGTGTTAATGTTAACTCTCATTAAATTCAAAACTTTTGTAAAAAAAATCAGTAAAATTTTCAGCCTAACTTACAAATATAATGTAAAAGGATAAAAACAATTTTTAAGAAAACAGCAAACAATTCCTTCCTGCAATTTTTAGCAACTCTGCAGAATCATAGAATACTTTGGAGGATCCAGGGCAAAGAACTTCATCTAAAAAAGATACAGGGATAACAGCCAATTTAAAAATTGCCTTTCTCTCCTTTGTTGTCATGTTAGGGAGCTCAATAAATTAGTATCCCAATCCTTCATGACTTCTACAGCAAAAGAAAATATAAATAAACTGTGCCCTGATTTTCTTTCTCATCCATTCTAAACTAGAGAAAATGAGAATATTTTTAATTCAGTAACCTGCAGACTATTTCAGGTTTAGAGTGTTAATCAAAATTAAAACAACATTGAAAAGCCATGAAACAGAATTCTTGATTTTAATACAAGGTTGCATATGCTCAAGTGTTCTTTAGGAGGAACTGAGCAGGTCACCAACAAGGAAAATATATATGGAAGCTAAAAAATATCCCCAATTTCACTGGGATAAACAGAAGCATAGGGGTGTCCCATGGTTGGGCTGCTCCACCCATTTCCTTGAAGAAAACAAAACTGAGAATGTTTTTATAGAACTCACCACTTGGAGCAGAGCCAAGTATCCCATCCCAACATTATCAAAGTTTACAGGAGAATTTGTCCATTTTCCACCATGAGACTCACAATCAGTTTTGTCATTAATGAGACTGATATCTCCTTCCTGGAGTATACACTTTGAAAATCTTTTCCCAAGCCATTTTACTCCTAGAATGTTAAATAGGAGCCAAATGACAACACAGACGAGCAAAACGTTGAAGATTGAGGGGATAGCTCCAAGGAGTGCATTGACAACAACCTGAACAAAATGAATGAAAATAATAGTGAATTTTATGTTGTCATTTTCAAAAACATCTTCAAATGTAGCCATTACAAAATATTCACACTGACCCTCAACATCTTTACCTTTATCCCTTCAAATCTTGACAAAGCTTGTAGAGGCCTCAGTGCCTTAAGAGTCCTGAGAGATTTCAGGCCACTTCCAGAGGAACAAGGTGATACAACTTTGGGATCATGACTTAGTCCCCAGGAAACAAATGACAGCTGTGTTCATAGAATTGGAACTGGGATTATTAAATGGTAAACAAATTTTCCCTTGTTTGTGTTAGCAAACAATCATTACCTGAACGTTACAATATCTTTGATCAGTAAGTTAAATTAAGAAAATATACATTAAATTCAAAGTTATTGTAATTTTACTTCATTCTTTTCTAATATATTTAAAAAAACCCTAAAGTCATGGTACATACTCTTTATAAATAGCCATAATATTAGACCTTCCTGTTGAAATTTCCTCCTACTTCACAACTTTCAATGCTGACTATTCTGAAGTCATCAAACAACTACTTTGATGTTACCACCAGTCCTCTGTTTACATGTCCTTTTCTTTAAATACTTAACTTCAGAATCTTCCCAGTGTGATGTTGACAAGCATAGATCTTTCACTTTTATATGGCAAGATTATAATAATTAATATTGTCTGAATTCATAAGAAATATGTAGGAATTGAATACTGCACTTATCTCACTACTGGTGTTTTCAACATGTATCTTTATAAATATGCAAAGGATTGCTGGGATTTCTCTTTTGCAAAGCAAAAAGTTCTTTCCTATGTCTTTAACATTCTGGTAAATGATTTTTCCAACAATACTTTTCAACTCCCTTTACTATCTAAGTTTCTTCTCTTTCAAGGAAGCAACTCTATGTTTTTTCTGTTTCTAAATGCCAAAATCATGGATTAAGAAAGTGGTTTGGGTTGGAAGGGACCTTTAAGATCATCTAGTCCAGAACTGCCAGTAGCTTCTCATTTTTCTATCGTTTTAAGTAATTTATTTTAGTTTTGTTTCTGATCACTAATTGAACTCCTTCTCTCCACTTGAAAAGGTTTTTAGAGCCATCATGGTCCTCAGTGATGGTGACACCTAATAAAATTTTCTTAAGCAACTCCTCCTTATTGCTGAAAATTTCAATTTAAATTTGTCCTAAAATCTGTTTGGGTTCGAATTTTTCACCTTTTGGGAACTGTCTATCACACTTGTAGTTATCCATAATTAGAAGTTACATGTAGTTATCCAGACAGAAAATGTCAAAAATCAAAATGTATGACAAGCTGAATATAATACTTACACATACAATGACAAAGTCAAGCAAATACCAGGAATTTGTGAAGTAACTCTGCAATCCATAAGCTACCCATTTCAGAAGCATCTCCATCAAAAAGATGTAGGTAAATACTTTGTCAGCATAATCTAGGATCATTTTCACTGTTTTTCTATTCTGCAGGTAAATATCTTCAAATGCCTGGAATTTCAGAATTCAAACAGGTCAGTAGTTGCATGGAAAATTATTCTTAAATTGCACAAGAATACACAGTTTGCCTTATTACAACAATTTCATATTAAATTATGGGTAACCACCACTCAGTTTTATACTTAGAAGTAAAAAAATGAATTGTAAAATAAGTACAATCCCATTTTCAGGTTGTTGAAAAATCAAATACTTTCAGGTTTTTATGCTCGACATTTCAAAACTTGTCTGAGGCTGGGCAATTGTGGCTACCACATTCTGGCTTCCCAATGTAACTGATAATTTTGAAGGTGTTGGTCTAAATTCTTCACAATAAAGCCTGACTTGAACACATTAACCACTGTCTTTCAGACTCTGACCTTCCAAATGAGTCATCTTTAGTCAGCCTGCAGAGTTGTAATACACACATGGAAAAGAATGACAAACTCCTTACCTGGAACTGTTCATTCCTGGAGTTACAGGTTTTTTCACCTAAACCTTGACCTTGAGGTTTTAGGAAAATGTTTTATTGATTGCTGCTGTTCACATCAGTGTTTGCTTGTCTTTAATGCATTTGCTGCCTCGCTAATTAACTTTAAGTTTTTGGTATTGCCAATCTACTCCCAATTCCTTTTACACCTTGCATTATTTCCTCACCAAGCCTGCACTTCTCCCCTACCCACTTCATTAAGGTATTAACAGCAGACCTGATTTGCTCCCCTGCACTTAACACATGCCTAAAAACCCATCTAAAAGGCCATGGGAAAGGTGGAGCAGGAGCATAGACCACTGAAAAAACATGAAGCAGAGATGCTCCTATGTATAATCCAATAAAACTTATGCACTCCTGTTCTGCAGTGTTAGAAAACAGTGATTCTGCTTCTGGACCTCAGGGGTCTTTCAACTGCACAACAATTAGGAGAAATGCCTCCAGAGCAGAGCTGTCCCTGTGCCCATGGGACTGTTCATTTGAGTGGGGGTAAATGAGAACTTCTGGCATTCATGTACATAAACCTATTTGCCATTTCTGACCTTTTTTCTTGAGTAAGTTTGATCATGTGTCCTCTTATTGCCTGCTAAACCTTGGCTACCTTGATCTCCATCTACCAGTCAAACCACCTGCTCATTAGCAGTGATGTTTTTTCATACTTCCAACTCCTTTTTGTCTAATTTTTTTAAGTGTCTACCTACTCTTAATTGCTGCTACCTTAAAAAGTTAGAATCTACTTAAGTTTCTAACTACTCTTCCTTTGCTCTGAGCACTGAGCACTGAGCACTCACCATGGACTTTTCTGTGCATTCTTTCTGTCAGCATCATCTCATTTAATTTCCTTTCAAGGACAGGACACCACGGTGTCCCTTTGTTCTAACTGGTTCAGACAATTCCCTACCAGCATACAACTTCATAAACAAAGAAACCCAACCAAACAAAATGGACAAGTCCCTTTTTGCAAGAGGACAACAGTATCTTAGCAATGCGAAAGTTCTCATTGTTAAACATCTTCGATGACAAGAAAATGTTGTTGTTTTGTGGAATTTTTGCACCTGGGTACCAATTAGCTTTGTGTTCAACTTAGTCAGAACCTAGAGCACATTAAAGAATAACTCAGTTTCCTTCCTTCAGCTTGGTTCCACATAAATAGAGAGGAGCCCTCACAGGAGTCCCAGGGATTTTCCTTGGTGTTTTTGCCACGGGAATTTAAAAGCAGACAGCTCAAATCTATGGTTCAGTGAACAACCTGAACTTAATGTACACAGAGCAGATTTTATTTGGAAAATTCTGACATTTACCCCATAGATCCCTTTCAGACTATTTGGTTGTGTTCCTTCTGCATTATAAAATATTCTATTTAAAAAATTACTTTCAGTTGACAGTGGATATGCTTTCAAATCATAGAAATTCCCTTATTCTTGAGTAGAAATGGATCTGATCAGGGTAGCAACAAAACATTATCTCACCTATCAGTTTACAGCCAACTTCACTTTGAAATTCTGATCATAATGTTTTAAAAATGCTTTAAACATTTAGAAGTGCTATTACTTTATTTAAAAGTGCAAAGTAATTTCAGCCTCTGGTTTAGCCTTGTAATAAACACACAAGTATATGAAGAACTATGTTCCATGAAAAACTACAGTTCCATATAATTAAATACATATATTTAAATGTCTTATCTAAGTGGGAGAAAGCCTTATCATTGTTAAGGGATACATTTACTACATTCTTATCTCTCCCTCTGGGAAGGAATGTCAGAGTAGAAGAAATCAATCAAATATTATTATTTTCCTTATTGACAACAATCGATTCAAAATTAGAGAAATTAAATGCAATTTACCAGTGCTGCACTGCTCAATACTACCACAAAAATCATAAAATATTCAAACCCGCTATGGTTAACAATTCTGTAGCAGGTTTTCCTGAAGTTCCACCAACTTCGGCCTGGAAACTTAGTGATATCCACTACACAACATGGGACACATTTACCACAATCTGAAAAGAGAAAGAACAGTATATTGGTTCCATGGAAAACGCTGAGATATGGAATCAAAACAGTATAGGGCATCTTAAAGAGAGCTTCTACAGACCAGAGAAAGAATGTGCTGTTTTGCCTATGAGGTGATGCTGTAGTTGAAATGATCTAAAGATAAAGAAAAAACTTGTATGCCAAAATAATCTCTTTTAATAGAGCAACACATATATGGAAAAAACAAATAAACTTTTGTGCCCTTCTTCAGAAAGGCTGGTGGGCACAAGAAAAAAGCACCTTTACTTCTATATATGTTTATTTCTTTTTGTTTTGAAAAGTGATAGTACGTTACTAGTAGGTTAGTCAATTATTATTTTTACTGATTATTTCACTTTATTTCACTGCAGAGACATTACAAGTTCCTGTTCACTGCTTTGCACCAGAAACAGTCTCCATGAATCTGTAAAGGCAGCAGGATTGAAGCATGAGAGGCAATGGAGTCTAAGGAGATGGTCAGGTAATCAAAGACAGATGTCAACACTGGGATGAGCAGGAAAACAGATTCTGCTAATTTGGACATGTTCCAAGTGGATATTTTTTAACACTGTTTGTTTGGTATTAGCACAATAAAGGAAAGATTCCTACTTTCTCCAAAACAGTCCTTAGGCAGGTGTGAGTTTTTAGTCTGGGAAAACATCTCCAGACCAACAGCTGCATCCACACTGCTGGCTTCAGAAAAGCTGTGAGCAGCACCACATTTCTGCATGGGAGAAGGAGAAAGAGGAGAATTTGTTTTTGTTTCATTCATAAGGTTAACAAGCCAAAAATAAATGAAATTTATCATTCCCCCACCCCCCTCTCCAAAGAATTCTGCAGTCTATAAATTACCTTACTGTTGCTGAACTACCAAAATGAAATTACAAATAATAGGACAGAAAAAGCCAATCCCTACTCTTTGTTTCTGTGGTTTTAATTTAATAAGTTCCTTGGTTTCTTCTTGTCATCTAAACAGGACATGCAGGAAGAAGAAGACCTTCTTATGCTACAACTTTGGACAAAAGTCTGACTTCTTCAGGCCAATCCAATTCTCTTTTCACTTTCAGATACAAACCTTGTCTCAAAAGGCTTGAAGATGGGAAGGCCTCACAGGATAGAAATGTATGTATGGACTACACACCTCAAAAAATTGTAATTACTGGTAGGTAACCTACACACTTGTAAAACTAAAGACAATAGGGAAAGCAAGTATAAGGAAAAAAGAGTAAAGATATCTATCAACCATAATATGTAAGTGCCCTGAATGGCATGGAAAGTGAAGGCATGAGGGTAGGGATAAGAATTGGAAGCCAGAAGAAGGGAGAATTTCCTCTGTCGACAGCCATGATGCTCTACATGAGTCTAAGGTCTTAGGGAATCTTCACCATGTACAAAAATGCAATTATTTAAATTAATGGGCACTGTAATATTTTCAGTATTATTTTTAAATATAAACACATAATGTATAACAAAGAAAAATTCTGGCAACTGTGCCTAAAACCAGAAAATGGTTATGGGGTTGGACTTTTGGGGGTAGTAATCCAGAAAGATGCTGAACTTCCATTTAATTTGCTGGGTCATCAGAGGCAAGCCATGGCTCTCCCCCTTTTTTTGATATGGAACTGTACTCGATTAGAATATTAGAATGAGCTGGGTTTCTATACCAGAAAAAGCATGGTTGCTCAGGGAACCATTTCTAGAGAGCACATTTTTGCATCCAAGAATGACAGCAAACAGAATTATCCATAGAAACAAGTGGCATGTATCAGACATGCTTACAGTCATTGTGTTTCCTAGTTAATTTCTGTTTCCTTATTTTGTACAAAATTATACATTAAGTTACACCATTAACCATGGCTATTGATGAGACACAAACCTCCATGCTATTACTGTCTCTAGAGAGATGTGCCACCTCCACAGGCATTATACTTGCTGCTCTTCAGAAAATCCCAGCCTGTCCTGTCACTGCTGAATGAGAGAACAGCTGTGACAGTTTGAATCTCTAGTATATTCCACAAGTTGATAAAAGTTAGAATTACCTCTTTTTGCTCTTGCTTTTCATGTGTCACTGTGAAAACATTTATGGTTTCAGGAGTCTCAGAAATCAGACTGATGCTGCCTGATCTCTGCTGCTGTTCTTTATGTGGTAATCTGTCTCCCTGCAGAAAATAATGTAAAACTGTTGATTTTCCACATTTTTCTTTCCTGACAGTCATTCTTTAATTCAGAATTCTTTAACAGAATCTAAAACATCCACAAAAGTTAAAACCATAGAATCACAGAATGGTTTGGGTTGGAAGGGACTCTAAAGATCAACTAGTTCCAACCCTCCTGTCATGGGCAGAGAATCTTCCACTAGTATGTTTGTCTTTTTACAGATAATTAAATGATATCCTTAAAATGCTTGTAATAGAATAGTTTCTTCCTTGATTTCAAATACTGTGCTCTTGAGGTTTTACTGTGGAAATGTATCATTCCCCAAGAAATACATTTAGCCCAGGGATGGATTCCTGCATCCAATTAACCTTTGCAGCTGGACCCCAACAGCCTCATGCTTCCAGTTACAGGCAGAAGACCTAAGTGATCCCAATCAGTTCTCAGTCCTTTTGTCTCCACAAATGCCAAGAAAGACCAGATTCCACTGCAGCACTTTTTGTCATCAAATGCTTCTGGATAACATCTTTGAAATGGCCACAGATGATTCTAAGGTGATCAGCAATTTTTACTTCTTTGAGAACTTGTCCAAAGACATGCCATTGACAATGCCTCCTAATATGACCCAAACCATAGGAAATGGATCGTAGCAATCCACCTAGACACTGACCACTGGAGACATTCCAAACCTGCCTGTACACACTCCTCTGTAACCTGCTTTAGGTGACCCTGCTTTTGCAGGGGGGTTGGACTGGATGATCTCCAGAGGTCCCTTCCAACCCAAACAATTCTGTAACTTGGTGAAAAGAGTTCCTATAGCTCCTGTGTCTTATTTGACAGTTCTGGATGGGTGTGATAGACACCTGAAATATCTCAAACAGGCCTGTGTATGATAATGACAGTACAAATGTCTAACTCACAGGCAGAAAGACTTGAGCTTTATCCTGCCCGATGCAAGAAAATCACAAGATATAAAGGGGAGTCCAAAGTATCATAGAGGTGAAAAGGTAATTAAAAAAAAATAATTCTTTTTTCAGGTGTAGCTTTTCTTTGCCTTCTCTTTGGATGCCATGCAACTGAGGAGCAACATATAAGCAGCAGAAGAGGCCTGTGTTAGAAACTATCCAAGTGTAAGATAAAGGAGACAAAAAGAAGGAATGTCTGTCTTCATCAAACTTTGTTTATTAGTTGACAGCAATAGATTGAAACAAAACTGACAAAAACAGAATTATGGCTATCCACGAAGACAATGGTGAAAAAGCGGATATTCAAAATGTCTTTGGCAAATGAAGACTATTTGGTAGCCCTTGCACTAGAAGACCAAAGAAAGTTAAATGGCAGAAATGACAGAAGGGATAAAATTTACTGTTGAGTCTTTGAGATGGCAATTACAGATGTAAGTTACAGTAATTTGTTTTAAATGTGAATAGTTCTTACCTGTTTTCTGTGTTCTGTTTCTGTGAATACAGTGTGCTCATCATCACTTTTGTCACTGTAACTCTCTGCTGCTTCAATGGGAACACAGGTACTGTGACTGCTGGAAAGATCTTCGTATTTCCTTGATATTGAGGAATGCTCTTCATTCTGGTAACACTCTATGTCAAAGCCATTGTTGTCTATGTATTTTCTGACATCTGTCATGGCATAATTATTATCCTCTATGTTTTTGCCAGAAATTTCTTCCAAAGTCTTCTTTTTGTCTGTTTTTCTGAGGCTTCCTTTCATTTTTCTGCCACAAGGATCCAGAATTCTGTCTTTCAAAGACTTCAGGCCCTGGTGAATCTGTGCAAGGGCAATCTGACATTTAGTCCTTTCTCCAGGTTCCTCTTCTCCTCCTGAGCTGTGAGTATCCAACAAACTCAGCAGCAAGGCAGTGAACAAGTTGAACACCTTAAAATAGTTAAAGTAAGTTGGAGACACCACTGCTAACAGAAAAGTCACTTCAGAAACCCTCAGTCTTGCTTTCCTCAACCACTGCCATGAAATTATTTACTATTATATTGCAATATTGTTATAGGACCATCTGGCCCCTTCTGGAAGGAATGGCAGGAGAAAAAGGAAGGAAGTGAGGGTTTGGGTATATCAAATATATTTTCACCTCCTCTGATGTCCATAATGTATGGGGAGATAGATATGTTGAAAAACAGCAAAGAGGAGTTTTAATAACACCACCATCCAAAAGGTTCTGGTATAGACCAACAAACCAAGCAGATGAAAAGATTTTGTCTTCCAGTACATTTACATTCCATCTACTGTATGTCATACAATCCAGAAAATCTGGGTATGGTAACCTCTTGATAATACAAGTTGATAAGCATTAAAAGCACTGAAGAGTTTGGTTATTGGATCCTATCAACACAAAAGATGAAGACATCAGACAACACATTATCAGAAGCACTGCACTTCTATACTGTGGGTAGAGGGAATAATTTGGCATTGCTTCTACCTCTTGTGTGAGAAAGAGAAAGACAGGGGAAAAGTAAAAAAAAAAAAAAAATTGAAGAAAAACGTGTCAAGTGACATCCAGAAAAGAGAATAGTGTGAATACTCTTGAAATGATAACGTTTCCCTCTGAAAAAATCAGTTGCCAGTGTAACTGGATGCATTCAGTAGAGACTGGGAATCAGCTTAAAACTCACCACCAGGTTTCCTATCACCAGGACTAGCAAGAAAAAGGTAATACAGATCCCTTGTCCAGCCACTTCCATACATTCCCACATCATTTCAATCCATTCTCCACATAAGATTCGGAATATAATCAGGACTGAATGAAGGAAATCCTTCATATGCCAGCGTAAATCCTTACTGGTGCTTATTTTATGGATTTTTCCTTCATAATCACTGCCAAGAAGATGCATTCCTAGTACAGCAAAAATAACTATAGTGAAAGCCAAAACCAGAGTGAGGTTAGTCACAGCACTAGATGAGTCTAGAATTATTTTCAGAAGAGTATTTAAGGTTGGCCAATACTTTGCCAATTTGAAGATCCTGATCTGTAAATAAAACATAAGAGAAAAAAGGTAAGGTCAAACACAGCCCAGACAGCACAGCTCACATAAAAACCAGACCCTGCATTTATCATGCTGCCTTTACTGCAGTAACATTGTCATTTTTCCCCAAGAAAGGCTTTTAATTGTTTTGATGCAGAAGTGCTGTGCTTAAGCTCCAACAGTTAATGTTATTGAGAGCAGAGAAGTATCAAAGGAAGGTTTCAAATTGTTTGTGCTAAGTTAGATATGAGAGTGTGCCAGTGTAATAATGTTAATAGCAATAAAAAGTACAGGAATACAATTAAGTAGGTCACGGGTACTTGGATGAAGATTATGAAATTACTGAGTTTTGGTCAAATGCAATAAGACAAATATTTTTTATACCTCTCATCAAACAGACTTAAAATAGGATCTGAAAAGCCAGGTGGGACCTACTCTATGTACCCTCACAAGTAAAAAGGAGGTATTTAGTCAAATTAGCATTCAGGGCTGTGAAAATCTCTCAGTCATGATAAACAAGGGGAAACACAATTCAACTGCATTTCTAGGCTTGTGGACTGAAATGCAAAGAAGCATTTTGAAGTAATTAGTAAATTTAACATTAAAAATATGCAGTAAGGACATAAATACAAAAGCAATGTCATACACAGACACCTCAGAACAACTCCTCTTTCTCCCTAAAACAGAGGAAAGCACCGAAGAGCTCTCAAGGGCAAGACTAAGCCCTGAGGAAAGCTCTGTTATTTTACAAATCTCAGCTAAAAGGAAAAGTTATCAAGGAACTTTTACTATCTATTCAGTGAAATATTCCTGTTGGCTTACTATTTACCAGCAAAGAGAACTGATTTGACAGATTCATCAATAAAATAATGAAAAGGTATTTCACTGTAATCATTCACAAATCTATACAAAACACGTGCTTTTTAAAAAATAGCAAAGAAATCATTACCACCCGGAAAGGTGACAGATTGGTTCCAAAGCTCACTAGGCCAATCAAAACAACCAAGCTATCAAAAACATTCCACTTGTTCTGAAAATAGTAGTAAGGATCTAGAGCAATGATTTTCAAGATCATTTCTAGTGTAAAAATCAGGGTGAAGACCTGGAAAGACAAAAAAGAAATTCAGAAAAGGTCACTGAAGAACTCTGTCTCCTTATGGGACTATTCCAGTATAAATACAGGGTTATAACTTCATATTCACCCTAACATAGACCTCATTTACCTGGTCACTTATAGCAATCATTTTTCTGGTTTCTGGGAACATGTCAGGGTGCTCCATAGCCATCAATAAGGTGTTCAAGATAATGCAAACTGTGATAAAGAGTTCAACAAATGGATCCAAAATCACCAATTTCACCTTCTCTTTGACTGCTCTCCAGAATGGACAACAATTCCAAATTAGATACTTTGGAGCAAAACGTTTCCACAATGCAGGACATTTCAATTTTGACTCTAGCAGAGAAAGAGGGAAAGTGGCATATGAATAATCCTACATGGAATATCAGAGTGTGAAGAAAAGAAAAATCAATCAGAGAAAAGACTGGAAAGAAAAATCAATCTCATGCGAGCAGAATGGCATCATTGAAAAGAGTTGTTTCACTCCTACTACACAAAATAGGCTACACTAATCACAGGCTATTGCAGGTCACCATCAACAAATGTCATAATGACAGAAACAGGGGATATTCCCCACCTCTTCATATGATTATTATTCTTTCCTGTGAGGCTGGGGAGGCCCTGGCACAGGTTGCCCAGAGAAGCTGTGGATGCCCCATCCCTGGGAGTGTTCAAGGCCAGGTTGGATGGGACTCTGAGCAACCTGGTCTAGTGGAAGGTGTCCCTGACCATGGCAGGGGGGAAGAACAAAATGATCCTTAATGTCCAATCCAACACAAACAGTTCCATGATTCTATGATTACACGATTAAAGGATGATAAAGGATCTGCATTAAGGAGAGAAATCACTGTTTCTGGGACAATGACAACCTGTTTCCTGTGAGTTGAACCTGCCCAGCCACAGGTGTCCATAGCTGAGGACAGGGTTATAAGTGAGGCTGGAGGAGAGCTCAGGAGATCTGTAGTGCAACCCCCTTCTCCAAGCAGGGTCAGCCATCAGGTCAGAGACTGCACAACCTCTTCCTCTGAAAATGGGCAACATTTCTGTTTACACCCTTTGAAATTCTCTTCTTTCAATCAAGTTGGTCAGGCATGATTTACCCTTGGTAATTGAGTTACAGTCACAATTATATGAGATATGAGAATCTTTGTTTTCCTGAAATTTACATTTGCAGCATAATTTCCCCTAGTGGTTTTTAAAATAATGTTGAGTGTTTGAGACAGTTTGATCTCTCAGGTCACATTACACAAACCCATAGGAAAAATGACTTACCTGAAAAGTCTGTAAGAATAGCAGCTGCACCCATTAACCTCTGTCTTCGGAAAGGATCATTAATAGAGTCCACTGACACATCATAGGACAGCAGGATCTGCCTCTTTGGTTAGAAAGACAGCAGAAGATAACATACCAAGGGAATATGAAAAACTGGCAATACAAAAATTATGTCCAGCGTGACATAAATATGCCTTTTTAAATACACATTGAAGGGAAGCTTTACTTTGGTGACAATATATAAAACAAAAAATACAATACTATCAGGTCTTTGCTATAGAAGGAAAAGGGCATTTCATCAAAACCAGTAAATTTCTTCATGAAATTGTTTCCTTCTGAAAATATTTAATAACAATAATAATGTCATTATAGAAGTATAGAAACATTAATGGGGCAAGGGAAAAGAATCCTTCCATTTTTCCAGTGGCTGATGAGAAGAGCAGACAAAAAGAACACTGGTCATCAGTTTGAATAAACTATTGCCTATTTAACGATGATAATTATTGATGATTAATAAATAATATACATTTATTAATAGGAAAAATAGTCAAGTAGTTAACAAAAACTATTGCTTTTTCCAGCAATACCAGGCCAATCTAGATTTCTACTAATATTGAACTGCTTAAAACTAGGAATGGCACTACTTTTATTTTCATTAGAAGCCATGGAATGCTCAGCTCAGTGCTCCTGATGTGAGCTCAAGGACAGACAGGCCAACACTTGTATCTTATGGGATACACTGAATTATTATCAAATATTCAGTTCATGACACATTAACACACACACTTTCTCAAGATTAAGTAGACAATCATAAAACATGGGCTGCAAAGAATATGTGAGACTCTGAGGTAGAGAAAATCAGAAAGAATTTCACTGAAATTTCACAGAATACCCTGAATTGGAAGGGACCCATGAGGATCATCCAGGTCCAGCTCTTAAGTGAATTGCCCATGGAGGGATTGAACCCACAATCTTGGTGTTATTAGCACCAGGCTCTAACCAAACAAAGATTCCAGTATCAGGAAGGATATAATTAGAACTACCAGTTGACAGGGAACCTGACAGACTGGGAGTGGACAGACTGACCACATCACAATGCCCAGTACCTTGGTATTCCCTCTCAGCACAACTTGAATGAAACTGATATCCTTGGCCTCAGGGGTTTAATAATCATTATTTCTCTTTGCCAGTTTGATATTTTAATGAAAAAATAACCAAAATTTAGCTGATAGAACTGTCACAGAATGGACATAGCAAAGGAATTGACACTGACCTGGTTACTGCTGCTCATCTGTCTTTAGCTGAGGGAAATAACTGGGGATGAGAAACTGGGATTTAAAATAGGGATATGCACTAGAGGAATGGTCCATTCAAGTTTTTATAAACTGACTTCGTCCTACCAAAATGTTTCTACCTGATATGCTTTTTTCTCTTTGACTTACTGTCTTAAGCCTCTTTTTGTGATGAAAGTAGAGAGCACATTGTTTGAAGAGTCCTCAGCTGCAGGAGAGACACCAGTAATTGTCATGTTTGTTGCAGTTTATGTTTATTTGACTAATGAAAGAACTCTGTGTCAGAGCATTTCACATTGGATCATGCTCTAGGCTTTTCTTTTGTTTTTGTTTTTTTTTTTCTTTTTTAATATGAAATTATTTTATTATGAAATACTAATAGGTACCACTGACAGCCACTTCCAACTTCCCTTTCAAGGCCATTTGTGCTGTCTCCCTCACATCCCAAAATACAATTTTCAGATTGCTTTAAAAAACAAGTTATTCCAATGAATGCAGGAAGGAGGGGAAAAATAAAAAAAAAAACAGAGAGAAAAAAATGCAAACAAAGAAAGCTTTTCTGCTCATAGAATTGTCATATCACACCTAGGTCTCATGAATATATTTTCTATTTCAAATACTTACAAGCTTCTTGTGGCAGTGACCAGGCTGTGAATGAAATATTTGCTCCTCTTTCTCCTGATCATCTAAAATTACATTTTGTCTTAAAACAGGTTTTTCTCTATTACTGTCTCTCCCTTTTGAATTTTTCAAGTCACCAACTGGCATTTCAGACCCAACCTGCAAGGCCTTACTGCTTTCTGCTGCAGCCAACTCCTGTAAAAGAAAAGTCAAAAGGTCTATCTATTAACACAAGATAAATGCCAACACATGGACTAGGATAATATTCAATTTAATTTTTACTCGATTAAATTATTACCCTGTCTGAATGCTGAGGAACTTGGTAAAATGGTGATGCCTTACACCTTAATGCACTGCCAGGCAGTCCCAAATCTTCGTTCACGAAGCCTAGCCATGATGATGACACCTTAATGAGGAAATTGGATACTTGCTAGAGAATATTTGCATGGCCTCTTACAAATCTGACATTTTTGACTGTAAGCAGTAAATCAGAGGTGTCTTTTATAAAAAGTTACAAGATACAATAGGTCTTACCAATAATTTTCAACCCATCCTGCTGCCTTGGCTTAGAGCTTCACTTCTGGTGGATGAGAAGCTTGAGATGACCCAGCAGGGTGGGCCTGCAGCCCAGAAATAACTGTGTCCTGGGCTGCATCACGAGAAGCATGGGCAGCAGGTCAAGGCAGTTGATTCTCCCTCTCTGCTCCCCTCTCCTGAGACCCCACCTGCACTGCTGTGTCCAGCTCCAGGCCCCCCCCAACATCAGCAGGACATGGACCTGCCCAAGGGCACGGAGATGCTCTGAGGGCTGGAGCACCTCTGCTCTGGAGACAGGCTGAGAGAGTTGGGGTCATTCAGTCTGGAGAAGGTTCCAGGGAGACCTTAGAGCCCCTTCCAGGTCCTGAAGAGTCTCCAAGAGAGCTGGAGAGGGACTTTTTATAAGGGCAAGTAGTGACATGACAAGGGCTAATTGTTTTAAAGGGAAAGAAGAGAGATTTAGATTAGATGTTATGAATAAATTTTTTCCTGGCAGGGTGGTGAGGCACTGGCATAAGGTGCCCTGAAAAACTCTAGATGCCCCATCCCTGGAAGTGTTCAAGGCCAAGTTAGATGGGTTTTGGAGCAATCTGGTCTAGTGGAAGGTGTTCCAGACCATCCTGAACTGGAGGATCTTGATGGTCCCTTGCGATCCAAACCATTCTATGATTCCATGACTCAATGATTATCAGAAATAAAAACAGGTGATCCCTGGTCCCCTACAGACCAAGGTATGAATGACTGGAACAATACTATGCCAAGAGGAAACACTGTGGAAATCTGATGTGTGTCTATTAACTCTCCTGTCTAAAGACTATTCCTGCTCTTGTCAACTGATAGACCTCCTGCATCCCATCACTCAGAAAGAGGCCTGACAACCTTTAAAGTGCTGAGCACAGTGGCTCTTGGAAGACTTTTTAATCAGGCCTGAACTCTGTCAGCACTGGAACTTCCAACTACTGGGAACTGCAGAAATGACAATTTTTCTCATGGATGTAAATGTATCCGCTCATATTTCCTTCATGAGACTACACAGTAATAGCAAGAAGGAATACCCAGAGAAAGGAATTTCTGTCCACAGCAATAATGGTAGTGTACAAGAACGGGGAAACCATGGAGTGCAGCACCTATGCAATACCATAAAAGGTACAAACTGGCCAGCAAGCCATTCCTGTAAAATGTCAGGTCTGCAAATCCTAAAATTTAATGATGGCTTTTTGTATCACAGAAATGTTTATATATTCAAATACATATATACATACACAGATGCATTTATAGAGACACAAAGAGAAATGAAGTGTGAGAAAGTATTGCAAGAAGCACATGTTTAATTCAAAACATCATTTCCCTAATTCACATACAGAAGAAAACAGAAGGAACCACTTATTATATATAATAATTTACAAACCTGTTCTTTCTTTATAATGTCTTGGGCTTCCTGAAGTAGTTTTTTCTTGGTCTCTGTTTCAGCTCTGTTTTGCTCTTCATATGCCGTAGTTACCACAGCCAAGATCAGATTGAAGAGATAAAATGAGCAGAGAAGGATGAATACCACAAAAAAAAAAAAGGAGGTCACTCCAGATGTACGGATAGTCTGTGAGGAAAAGGTAAAAATTGTGATGTCTACATGCATTTTTATAGCATTTCTGAAAAAAAAAAACCCACCAGAATTCAAAAGTTACATTCAGTTCTCTGAATCAAAACATCAAGCCTCCAAATTTTTAATGTCAGTTGTCAAAAATGATCTGAGACTAAAGTGTTGAGCCAAAAGGTTTGGTGAGGAGTCAGGACTTAAAAGGAAGAGGAACAGAGAAGGCAACAAGTCCTCACGCTCCCTGCAGCAGCAGTGAGCTCACTGGCTGGATCTGCTGTATATCCCAATCCTTGGGTGGTTCCATACTCATATTTCACTCTTAACCACTGACCCCAGTGTGTTCTCCTACAGAACTATGGGCATTCCCAGCAGGATTGCTCCCATTCCATGTCCCTTGCAGAAGGTGTTACAACTTAGTCACTTGAACCTACTCCCTTAATATTTACATGGATTTTGAAGGAAATGTGGTGTCAGTAAGGTTAAAACCAGTAGAGATTTTTCTAGTGGCTCTGAATTGCATGTGTCAAGTCATTCTATCAGGTAATAGAAGTACCCACCTGTCTGTAGAGACGCTCCCAGGAATCCTGTGTCATCAGACGGAATACAGAGAGGAAGGCCCAGCCAAAATGATCAAAACTTGTATAACCAAAGTCAGGATTCTGCCCAATCTTCTGGCAGGTATAGTTTTCTGGGCACTCTTTCCTAACCCCAAAATAAAGATTAAACAATATTTACTTGGAGATTTAACGGTACCCGAAAGCACCCAATAGACAACACCAGATTTGTTCAGTTTATCTGAAAGTCCATTTCATTATTCCCCAATTTAATTCTGCCAGAAGGGCTGATTTATATCAAACCATCCTAGAAAGCCATTTGTCTAAACAAGGAAAACTAGACGGAAACCTTAGTTTAGGACTAGACAAAAAGTCTCCTTTGATGTTGTTTACATGCAAACAAATACACAGAGAGGGGGAAAATGGAATTATTTTACTTCTAAAAAATTCAGCAAGATGAAGAGAGGAGAGTTTATTAATATCTAACAGGTCTTTACTGATCTCTTCCTCTCCTCATTTATATCATTCTACCTTACCATTACATTCCCAGTGGTTGGCAACAAAGTACATACATAACTGGTTGCATCCTTGTACTTCATTCTTTTTCTGAGGTGAAATATCTGCCTTTAATGATACATAAGCACCCTATCTTCCTGAAAAATCATCACCATTCCTTTAGACCAGAAATAAAACCACAGGACATCTGGAGGAACAAATTAAGAAAGTACTAAAATTGCTTTGTTCACTTACTCGGGATCTGAACTGAACCCACAGAGCAATATGTCAGAAGAGCCATTCATTCTTTGGCAGATATCTAATAAAAAATAAATCAAGGAATCATAAAATCAGAAGTTGTCAGTTTGCACAGCCTTCTGACAGGAAACCATACATTTACTGCACTTGATAAACACCCTGATGGATCAAAGCTCTGGGAAGGATCCTTTCACAACAAAGGACGTATAGGGCTGATTCTCAGCAGATCTGTCTCTGTGACAGACTAAAAAAAATAGCAACTATTTACTGCACAACTCACAATGTAAGACTTCATTTGGTCTCTGCTAAAAGTAAGAATCGCTGTGAGAAGTAGGCAAAATCCCTGAAATATAGAAAAAGTGATGGGAAAATAACCATACCCTGTGCAATACCCCTAAAATTTGGATCCCTGTGCAATGCACAGGTAAAAAGGCAAATACTTATAGAAAACTCAGCCCCATCTATCCCACAACCTGCTAATCTTTCTCCACATCCAAGATTCACTAATTTCACATTCACTTGTCCCAGAGACTTCATATTAAGACTCGTGCAAACGGAAGGGTTTTCCTTCTTGGGAGAAATACATGCAACTTCAGTTTAACATACCTCTGAAATTCAAGACATTCATAGGAAGATACACAAATTATGTAAAGAGAGAAAAGAATAACATTTACCTTCATCACTTGGTACATAGATCTTGGGATCCTTGCATAATGAGTCACTGTACACAGTATTATTGAGGACACATTTGAATCTTAAATTGCCCATAAAAAGCTGGAGGCCTATTAGGGCAAATATACTCAAGCAAAATACAGTCAAGATCAACATGTCAGCAAGTTTCTTAAGAGATTCAACAATTGAATTTACCAGGATTTTCAGACCTAGAAAAATAAGATCCAATAATACGCAAAATGAGAAGAGGAATGAAGTGACATTCCCATATGACAAGACACAGCAGTTGCAAGTCTGTTAAAAACAATCAGAGTAAACAGGTTTGTAACTTCTGAGTATTAAATGAGGTAAAACAAAGCATTTTTACCTAAATTTCCTAATCATAATTTCTTTGGCTTCTGTTTAGTACTAACACTAATTTTACTATCATGCAAATTCTAAATTAAGATGGTAGCCTAGCAAAGTCTTTAATGAATAGGGGTGGCTTTCTGTTTTTGTGCTTGATTATCACTAAACAAGTACTTCACCCTGTGCCAAATACACATTACAGTGAAGGACAGCTTCTGCTGGCCTCGGGGAACTCTGCCTTAGAAGGTAATCCCTTACAGATGCCACCAGTTTAAAAGCAAAAGGACATTTACGACATTAGTAAGGAAATATATAAATGTTGGGGACCAGCCAGCTGGAACACAGCTTGGCAGAAAGAGTCCTGGGCATTCTGGAGGACACCAACCTCAACATGATCCAGCAACAGTGCCTTGTGACAAAGAGGGTGACTGTTTCCTGGGCTGTGTTAGGCAAAGCTTGGCCAGCAGGTCAAGGGAGGTGATTGTTCCTCTCTACCCAGCCCTGGTGGGGCCACAGCTGGACTACTGGCTCCAGTTCTGGCCCATGGACACACTGCAGAGTCCAGCAAATGGCCACAATCACGGGGAAGGGACTGGAGCAACTCTGCCATGAGGAAAGGCTGAGCTGGGCCTGGTCAGCCTGGAGAAGAGAGGGCTCAAAGGGGATCTCCTCCATGTCTGCACAAATCTGAAGGGAGAGTGCAAAGAGGATGGATCCAGGTGCTTTTCAGTGGTGCCCAGTGCCAGGACCAGAGGCCATGGGCACAAACCGAGACATGGGATGTCCCATCTGAGCATCAGGAACCACTTTTCTACTGAGAGGGTGACTGAGCACTGGCACGGGTTACCCAGGGAGGTTCTGGAGACTCAATCCTTGGAGATTCACAAAAGCTGTCTGGACTTGGTCCTGGCAGTGAGGCTGGACCAGACGACCTCCAGATGTCCCTTTCAAATTCAACCATTCTGGGATTCTGAGAAAATGCCATAGAAAACTTAAGCCCAATACTGAGGCAGAATCATTGAATCTGAGATATGTTATAAGCAGACAGTGATATCCAGGATTTTTCGTAAGAAAAAAAGTCAAATTATACTTGATCTCTGTTCTCCATGCAGAATATGAAAGGAAAAGTATTATGTGTGGTTTGACAATAAAATTAAACACTTTCTATGTTTAATTCCTACTGAAATTCCAGAGTGAAATCAAAACTATATTTGCAATTACATAGAATAGGTAAAGTTACTATATATTATGACAACATATATAGTCATTGACAGATTTTCAAATGAATTTTTGCAGGTAGACCCTGAAATCATCCTTTGATATCCTAGTTAGGGGCATGACATATCAAGTATCTGGATGGTATATGCAACATATTGCTGAAAGTATTGCACTGAATCCAGATAGTGGCTGTGGTCAGCAAGGAAACAAATGAAAGTATCAAATATTTCGAAGTCAGGATTCTTGGGAAGAAACCAGAGAAGTTTAAGCCAATTAAGCTAAGAAAACAGAAATATGGGGGTATAACACATCAAATAGAGGAGGTTGCTCCAGGAACACAAAAGTAAAACAACAAAAGCATCGGACTAAGTAAAATTGAACATTAGTGTTGTGATAAAAAATGCAGAAATTAAATTTGCCTTTGTCAAAGATGATTAAAACAATTCTGTTAGGATGCTGCTGAGAGTTACTACAGACTGTAAAACAGTCACACCTAAAAGCAACTATATATATACAATATTACAGGATCCCATTAGCAGTCACAAAAAAATGACCAGAAAGCTGAGGACAAGAACAGGAGAGGAATCAGAATTAGCAGACTGGTGAAACGGAGAGAATATCAGTAAGATTGTTCCTTACCTGGTATTACTGAAACGGCTTTCAAAGTCCTCAGTACTCTGACAGATGCAAAAAGTGAAATATCACCTATATCTATAAATATAGCAACATACCTATAAAATGAAACCACATGTAACTGAATGGCAAGGATGTAACTTTTCAAAGCATAACCATGTTGAGCCAGTCTATGACTATTTTTCTCTTTGCACATATGCAAATGGTGGTTCAAGCACAGTAACTCTTTAGCAGGTAGGATGCCAAACACTCTCAGGAATTTCAGCAACATCAAATAGTATTTAATCTGTGGCTTTTTCCCTTCAGTGTAAAAGAACAACTGAGTTTTACTTACATTACAATAGTAACAGACAGATCCAAGCAGTTCCACGGATCTCGAAGAAAGGTAAATTCATTCCAAACAAATCCTCTTGCTACTATTTTTATCAACATTTCAATAGTATAAATGCCAGTAAAAGCAATTCTGAGGAGGAAAAAGTGTATGTAAGTTATAGAAATAAAAATATTAATGAGATTGAGTCACATTCAGGCACATTCAGGCATTTTCTATGATAGGACAGATTATATTACTTTCAGAAGCATCATGGCTATAAGAAAATGTGTGCCTGAATTCTAGTAAGACTGCAGGTAGTAAATCTGTAACCACAAAAGTTCACAGAAGCATACGATATTACTTCTAGGTGAAGGATAGCTCACACTTCCTTAGGAAACATTTTTAACACTGTGTTTATATTCTAAAGCAGGCTGGAAAATCACAAAGCCTCAACATTCTGGCAGAACAATAGAACAAAAGAACAATTGAATAAAGGCTTATTTCAGCCTGTAAAGTTTGCACATTTTATACTTTTTGTCTGAGAAAATCTCTATCATGGAAAGCAAACCTACAGAAAATTAAGCTCTTCTTATCACCATGCTTACCCCAAGGTAAAAGGAGCTCCGGAGACATTTTCAAGATTTAATTGTAGAACAACAAGTCAAGTTGCACTGGATACAGTGCACAAGTACAAAAGGTAGCAAGACATTACAAAGAGATGCCTTTCTAATGGGAACAACTGACCCAGGAGTGTCACCAGGAAACAGGAAGAAAGAACAGAATGGACACTTAACTCTTTCTAGTTTTTGCATGAGCCAACCATAACAGACATTCAGGTTATTGCTGTAGAATGAGAGATATTAAGTTAGAATCCTGCCCCACAGTCTCTCTAAAAGGCTCATTCCTTAAAAGAAAAAATGGGTCAACCTTCTATGTCACAGCAGATGGCAAAATTAGCCAACGCAGAGGAAAGGGCACATGGTGTGAGCCTCTGAGAAAAGGCACTGAAGCTCCACCAAAGACTGGGAGATATAATAACAATCCTCAATCTTCCTCAGAGGTCTGACTGAGAATTTTCAAGGCCCTGAATTAGATCACCACATTGTTTAAATTTTTCAGTTCTTCATGTAAGTATCCATGGAAAAAGAGGGAACACAGAGCCACTGAGATACTTACTCAATCCAGATGAGTTCTGGTGGGAGCTGACGTACAGTCATAAGCGAAAAATTGAGGTACAGAGTACATAAAATAAAGACCACAAAACATGTGAATAGTAAGTTAAGGAAAAAATGCTACATTATAAAACAATGAAGTTCACAGAAGGTCCTGTTTTCCACACAGAAAGCATACAGGCATTCAAATAATGACTTTGGTTTTGAATATGCTCAGGATATTTCATGTGTTTTCCAAAGAAACTAAGTTAGAACTTAAGTGGGACATAACATGTTTAACAGAAGAGATGAGAAACATAAATTAATGAAAACCAGTTGAAAAAGCTTCATTAATAATAACCAATGTTCTTTTAAACTGGGATTCCATATCCACATGTTAGCAAAACACCCCCCTGCAGGAATTTAGAAAGCTTTCTCACTTTATGTGGTAGGCAGTGAAAACATGCATAAGAAAAAACATTCTTTCATAAAAGTTCACCTGCCATCTAATAAAACTCGGGTGTTTTTAAATTACAAGTTGTTCTTAACTGTAGAGTGTAACTGAAGGTGAATAGTAAATTTAGTAATTTCTAATACTAGGAATACACATTCAAAGTCAGACATAAGTTCCATTAAAAAATCTATTTTCACAAATTAATAATTCCAAATGAAAACAGATGTTTAGCAGAAACTACTCAGTTGATGGTTTTTCACTTGCAAATCCTTCACATTCTGACATTCTCCAAACTACAGTTACATTGTTTCAAAAATACAAAAGATGGGCACTCTTCAGAACATTCTAAACTTGAGTGTGGAACACATTTCTTAGGAGAACATGAGACTCTTCCAGCAAAGCTTCAGCATAAATCCCATCTTTCATGTCTTAAAAACAAGAGAGACACTGGTTTGCTTTGTTTGTTAGTTTGTGTGTTTTTAATTTAACCTTGTGACCACATCAGAGATTTCGAACAAGTTCTGGAAAAGGGCTACACTATCACACAATAGCCTCTAAAGGTTGTTTCATATCTGCAAAATTGATTTTAAATATCAGCTTGTACCAATATCTCAGCTGTTGTAACATTACATTCAATACAACATTTAAAAAATCTCTATCACAGCCATATATATATATCACAGTTTATGTTCACATTCATATAAAGAAAGGAACAGAATGACAGAAAATGATACAGAATACTTTAATATTCAAATAAGGGAAACCAGTGAAAGGATATGAATTGGTCAGAAGTTTAATTGCTGCCTTTCTGACTGGATTAAAAGGACCAAATATACACAAGGCAGGTGTGGCAGTAAACCGGAAAATAGTCCTCTTTTTATTTAGCACCATAAAAGTCTACAAAGAAAAGATTCATAGGATATGAAATATTTAAAGGAATTAAAATTTCCCCGAAAAGTAAATGTTCAGGTTTTCAAGTCTGCATCTAGAACTATATCGAACTGCAATTATGAGAAAAGCTTTCCTGTTTTCTTACTTGGAGTTGTGACCTGGCCATACACATATGGAAGGAAAGACAGCAACTCTATAAAAGTGCATTATTACCTGAGAGGAAGAAACACTAATGAGAATGAATGTGAAGAGCAAGCGATCATATTCACTTGAACAAAGTAATTAAATTACTTAAAGTAATTAACTAGTAATTACTATTCTAGGACTGCAAAAATGGTCACAGTCACACTCCGAAGTACCTTACTCTTGGATAGTTTTATAGGCTACAAAGCCTTATTTACAAAATACACATTGGGTAGGGCTGCCAGAATCCCAGACATCCAAAGGAAAAATTAAAAATTTGAAATATCCCCAAATTATCAAACAATTCTGTAAATTCCTTCCAAGCTACTTCAAGTTCCATGCAGCTCCGTACTTGTGCTACACGTAAAAATGAGATATCATGAATGAAAAACACAGTTTCCTAATATACATTTCTTCAACTGAATCAGCCTCAGTTTCTCTTCATCAACACTATTGCTTTGATTACTTGGAGAAAACAAATCTCTGGAAGAACAAAGTCTTCTGCATATTCTCCCTTTCAATTATTATATTCCAATGCCTTGCTGGTCATTTCATAAAGACAGCAGCACAGCACTGCATGGAACCTCCAGCTCTTCAGGTCAAGTCTCCCTCAACAGTAAGCAATCATACAACAGACATTTAACTGAGGAGGGATTCCTACAGCATCTACTTTAGACACTCCCCCAGGCAACAACACCAACCCCTTTGCAATCGCATGGAGGATTTGCAATATAAATATGGCACAATAAACAAAGCCAACGAGACATAAAATAACAGAAAATTAATTTACAACAATGCAAATACATGGATTTGCTACATAGAGTGCTGGAAATATCTCAAATATGCCTCCCCTAATTAGTATAATCTTTGTAATTCAGTGAAAGCATCTGCAGTTCCAGCATGACCTACTCTTGGACAGGCCCTGTTTATACCACAGGGAGTTCAGCCTCACAGGCATCATAAGAATTGCTCTGCAAAACAAAGCATCCCTTATCCCAGAATATATTTCCTGTAAAAGTGTATCAATCATGTGTATTATGTCCTCATAATTAAATCTGACTGCTGACTGGAACTGAAGACACCTCTTCATGGCATAAAGCAGAGCACACCTTAGCACTCCTGCCCCAAAAGATGTCAGGAATGTTGAAAGACCTGTCTGCACAACAATCAAAACCCAGCATCTCCCAGCTAGAGCTTTTACTATCTCTTAAGAGTTCAGCAGACAAAGTTAAAGCAAAGAAATGCTTTTGGAAGTTTTAACCTTGTGGTCACTGTAGTATGGATCAAAATCCTCCAGGGGCTCCCCAATGAGCTCTGATGGAATGTCCCCATAAAGGGATGACAGCTTTTTGCAGATTTGCAGATCAAGCCGGGGAGTAAGTTGCTCTGCTTCAACTCCTTGGTCCTTATGCTTCTCTTTTTCTTTGTCTGGCTGCTTTTTTTTCTCAGCAATTCTTTGCTCAATTGCAGCCAAGGACTCAGGGGTGAAACGTCGAAAGCTGTTAGTTTCTGATGGCCAACACCAGTGATCCATTTTTCCTTCTGAAGGTTTGTTTCCAGTGCTAGAGGTAATTTAAGAAAAAAAGCTATGAACAATTAGAAAATAACAGAAACAATACACAGCTTTAAACTACTATCTATTAGATAAATGATTTCTGACTTCTATGAAATCCCACATCAAAAGTGAATTGAATAGAGTAGAACAGGAATTTCAGTTGGAAGGGACCCACAACAACCATCCAGTGCAACTGTCTGAGCAATTCAGGGCTGACCATGTTAAAGCTGTTCCTAAGGGCACTGTCCAAGTGCCTCTTGAGCACTGACAGGCTTTGGGCATGGACCACCCCTCTAGGAAGCCTTTTCCAGCGTTCAACCACTCTCTTGGTAAAGAAAGGCTTCCAAATGTCTCACCCAAACCCACCCCCAGTGCAGCTTTGAAACATTCCCACACATGCTGCCACTGGATACCAGGAAGAGAAGCTCAGCACCTCCCTCTCTGCTTCCCCTCCTCAGGAAGCTGTAGAGAGTGTTGAGGTCACCCCTTGGCCTCCTCTTTTCCAAACTAGACAAGCCCAAAGCCTTCAGCCCCTCCTCACAGGACATTCCTTCCAGCCCTCCCACCAGCTTTTTTGCCCTCCTCTGGGTGCATTCAAGGACCTTCACATCCTTCCTAAATTGTGGGGCCCAGAACTGCACGCTGTGCCCCATGTGAGGGAGGCCACCCCTGTGTTTGCTCTGTTTGATGCACCCAGGATATAAGGCAAAACCAACTAGAAGCTCATTCATTTAAAAGAAAGAGTAATGTAAAACAAACCCCCAACAAAGATCAACACCTAATTCTTTGAAACACTCTGCATTTTTCATTGCTGAGGTCCAGCTGTGCTATTTCTGTCTTGTGAGCTCACTTATGGACCATAGGTGTTAGAGAATCAATACCCTCTTGCAATTACAGCTCTCTTCTTCAGATGCCAGTATATTTCTAAAAAAGAATATGCAAACAATAGTCTTTGTGCAACAATTTTGTTTGGGTTTATGGGACTTGGGTGGTTTTTCTTTTCCTCCTCTGGGACTTTACAAGCAAGTTCAGATCTGATCAGGAACCACAGCTCAGAGATTAGAATTTGCCATGGTAACAAAATGGAAGCATATAACCAAAGAACTGGTACTTTGCCAAACCACAGAGATCCATTTCCAATTGAAAGCTCAAAAGATAAAGCGAAAATTAAGATGCTCTTTCTTTTTCTTTTCAACCTTTCATAATTCTAAGATTATCGATTTGATCTTCAAAGCAATTTTAAGGACAACAGAGAGACTGAGCTTTTAGGGAGCTATATTGACTGTAATAAATGAAACAAAGAAAAATGTTTTAGCAAATACAAACATTGTTTTAGTATTAAGGATTTGGGAGATGAATTTTTGAAAAAAAAGTGAAGACTGAATCTGACAAAAGCAGTGATCAAGAGCAAAAAAACCTTACACATTCCCTTCAGCAACAGTGACCAGAAGTCATAACTGGACAAACAGTCACGCACAACGTGAGAGGATTTCTTCAACAGACCTGTACCAGCCACATACTAGTGCTCATATAGAACAACAGACTTTTGGGCCTTTCAACAGCTGCCAAGTATTTACAGGTTGTGACTTGGGTTAGGAAAGAGGAAGCTAAGAATATGTGACTGAAAAAAATCCTTGTGATCCAGGTGGCTAAATCGTTTTAAAAAGACAGAGTGACTACTCAGAATTCCTGAAGCTCAGCTGAACTCAGTCACCTCGTCAGCTGCTGAACCAGCTGAATTTTTAAGTCAAGACACTGAGGTAAAGTGTTACCCTTAGAAATAATTTCAGTCTTTGCATTAGACAGAAAGTCTCCCTAGTTACTGATTCTGGGAGGGAAGACACAGAACCAGCGTTCCCAGAAGTAGCTGAAGGAAAACTGAATGTGATTTCTTCTAGAACCTGGGAGAACAAACCTGGGGGTGTGTAGCTACAAGGAAATTGTAACAACACACTACCTAAAGTGGGCTGCTGAGGCAGATACAATGCTCGAGTCCAGATCTGCTCTTTCCGCTACAGGACATAAAAGAAATTCCCATTTAAATTCAATTAAGAATTGAAAATGCTGCAATAGGTTTTGATATCTCTGGCCCCGTAGCAGACAGTGGTCCATCAGTAACAGACACAAATCGTGGCAAAAAGAATGTAATGAGGAATTATGGGATTTGTAGTTTTCCGGTCTCTCACGCATGCTCAGTGAAACACTTGATTGTCATTGGTTGAGAGATCATGTGACACATTTGGACGCTGTATTTAAACTGCTGCCTTTGTAATAAAGTCAATCTCGCTCGGCCAGAGTGGGGTTCGTGCCTTATCCAAACGCCTCAACTAATGCACTGAGGGGACCTTCAGTTACCTGCCACTCTGGGCAGGGTCAGGGATACAAAAACACATCTTGAAATTCAACTTTTGCTTTTAAGTGGAACTTACTTATTTCTCTCCTCTTGAGAGGAAGTGAACTCAGTGTGCAAAGCTAGCCCAGCTTTGAGGTCAGTCTGACTGGCTTAAGGCTGACCTTGGATACTGCAAAAATGACACAGCAGCTTTTCAAGTCAAAACCCGAGGAATTCCACAGAGACTGATCAAATTTACTGAACAAATGACGTGCAAAGCAATAGAAAGGGGTGAACAACAAGTCATTAACTGAAGCAGACACTGGGCACTACTAAAGTACAATTTGCTATTAAAATTTCTTAAGATAAAAGCTGAGCTTTAAGATAATTTTCTAGAATAGCAAAGTAATGCCAAAAAATGAATGTATTAATACAAAGTGTTAAGAGATACAATTTACAAGATGCTTCCTGGGGCAATGACTTATCATTAGAGATGATAACTAACAGATTGAGACTTTTGGATTGAAAAACAAAATACAAATTCAAGGCTTATACACAACTCCTTGATTTGGTTCCATCTATACAAATTTCAGAACTCCTTTCAGCTCCCTAAAAGCACAAAGAGTTCCTTTTAGGTGTGGCAAGGTAACAGCAATCAAACTATTGACCATTAGATCTCCAACAGTCCATAAAAGTGGAATTTAAACTCATAGAACTGCACAGTAAAACACAAGCAAAGTCAGGAAGGGGCATTTTGAGGAGTTTCTCGAGATAGGAAAACTAGAAGGAACATAAACAAGAAAATGTCTTATTTATGTTTCAATCTAGTTTTACATGTATTATAACCACTTCTGTGCCCAAATTATTTCTATCCATTCCCTTCTCAAGAGCCACCCACCAAATATTTCCTGTGAGCACCTGGATCTGAAAAAAACAAAGAGTAAACTAACTGCTTAGTTTGGTTTTAGGATGCATTCAGTGGATTCTTCTGCAGGGGAATAAAGATGTTCATTTCTTCATCTGGAATAAGACAAAATGAGAAAGCAGCTCAGAGCAACACCATAGGAAACAGGACAGACAAATCTCTCTTTTCTGTGCTGTACAATACCTTGCCAAAAGCTACAGCTATCACCTACTCAGTTTTCATAAAGACTAAATACTTCTGTTCAATAATTATCACAATTTTCTTTATTTAAATCTCAGTAGTTATCAGCAGATCTAAGAGATTTTAGTCCTTTATAAAATCAAACTTGGACGTTCTAAAGGACTACGGTTGTTTCAAATATTCACGGCCGTTTCTTCCAACTAGCACTTTATCCCTCGTTCTCTACTTCACACTTGCTCCCCTAACCCAAGAAAAACTTTGTGTTTGGATTGTTTGGATAAATATCTACCACTTGGTTGCTGGGGGGGGTTCTCTGGGGAGGTGTTGTTTGGTTTGATTTGTTTTTTTAACAAATGTAATATACCAAGTTATTCAAAATATCCAAATAATAACATGCAATATAATAAAATATGCTGTAATATAATCATTCATTACTTCCGAAATCAGAAATGTATGCAACAGGCTGGACAGTGCATTCCTTAAACATCAGGAAAAAAATCACCCACCAGCATTTCTGGGAGAAAGACATTTCAGACTTGTGTAGGTAAAGAAAATTCATTATGTCAAGATGAGTATAACTAAGATTAAACAGTCCTACAGCTGATTTAAGGAATGCCATGCATAAGCTGAAACAACAAAACAAGACAAAAGGCAGTCAGTAATTAATATGAGAAATATATCAGTATTTAGTAAAACGGTTTCCTGGCACATGGATGTTATAGGAAGAGCTACATATTTACAGCAGTATAGTGGTTCTATATTAAAGGCACATTTTCTTATGCAGCTTCTCCCTGTACCTCAAATAAAACCACATCTAAGACTTAAAAACCTATGCGTAAATATTTTTATATATAAAGACACAACTTGTATACACACATCCCTGAATATTTTGATCGAATTCTCATAGATGTAAACTAAAAAAAATAAGCAATTGAGATTTCTCATGGTATAAAAATATTTAGCAAAACCAAAATGCTTACAACATCCCCTTCAAAATAAAAAACCTTCACACTGCTTTCTGAAGCTAATGTCGTCTGGCTTTTATCTCCAAAGAGGCAGAAAGTCTTTGTTTTCTCACCTTCACCATTCTGTTCCCAAGAACATCCTTGCTCCCTGGCCATCTCCCACGCAGAAAGTTTTCTTATGTACTGCAATGCCTGGGGGAGGGATGGAGGGAGGAGCTTGGTTACATTTCTGACAGCAGTAAATGAAATTTTGTGATCTCACTGACAATACTGTACAAGAGGGAAAATGCTTGGGTGATACCTTTGAAGAATAATCACCTAAGTATTAATCCATTATTTTCTTTCTGCTGAAATTACAGTTACACTTATTAAAAGCAAAGACGGATTTTAGTTCAATTGGAAATATATGTGTAAAATATAAGAAAGCAAACGGTTTCCTGTTTCACATTTCATTCTGAGGTTTTAACCAGATGAATTTTCAGGCATACAACATATATTGGGACCAAATTTACCTTGTAGCAAAAGCTTTTGGTTAAAAATTAGAGTTACATACTATTCATTTTTATTCCATCTTCTCTATTTTTCACTATTCCCAGGCTATTGTGTATGTTCATTATGTCTTTTACAGACAAAATCTGAAAGTCAAATATACTGTCTCTTATATACAAGATCAGAGCCCAAAATACATTAAGTATCACATTATAAAACCCCACAACATTTATCCTCAGATCTGAAATTGCTTGTATTTATTTAAATGAATGTATAAAGCCTGCTAGCAACAGGTATTGGACAGTAACACAAACACATTAATGGCAAGCCCTGGTGCTAATTGCAGTTATCACTCTTAGTTACATCAACAGAATCCATTACTCTCTAAAGTTTTTTTCTTCCTTATTGAGTGAGACATAAATCTTTCCTGACAATAAGGGAGTTACTCTGGGCTTTGCTGGAAGAATTCTACTAAAGGAACTATGCTATCCTTGAAAGCCAGGCCACCCTAATGCAGGCAAACACACAAACAGTGATCAAACACTTTGCTTGATAGGTACCATCAGGGAAGGAAGCAACTAAAAGTGGTTTTGAAAGAGATAAAACCCCAAGTGTCCTGTGGGACAAGCAACAGTAAGACGTTTTAAGTTGCAGTGTAAGTTATTTTTCCAGAAAACAAGAGAATGTTCTTGAGATCAGTTCAATTAAGAGAGCAGAATTTTGAAGATCACTAAAGCATCACTATAATGGCACCGTAACTGCCATGGTCAGAAGCACCCACATTTATAGGGATGCACCACCTAATGCCGTGAAATGCAAAAAAGTTCTCTTCCTGCACATATTTATTCTGCTGCATCTTCTCCATCCATCTGTCCCTGTGAAAAATGGGGCTCAGGGAGTAAAGACAGAATCCAACAGAGCCCTCTTTGCACACTGTAATATCTACAATTTGAAAAGAGAGAGCACAGAGAACTAGGTCTTTTTCTGCAGCAGTTTAGGACCTTCTGCTAACACCAAAACATTTAGACAAGTAACTTTTCTTGTGCTACCCTGGAAAATCTACTTTTTCCTCTTAGAAAGGCAGTTTTTGAAAGAGTGGGGAGGGGGCAGAAAACCAGTCTCATAGTGACAACAGTGTTTTCCTCCCACTTTCATTCATTATTCCTCAGAATACTGAGCAAAGAAAGGATAAGTTTAACAACAAAAAGACAATGATCATTATAGAAATTACTAAAATTAACTTCATTATAGAAATGGCTTTAATTTCGACACCATGTTCTTGTCATGGATCTGTCTCTTCCATTAACTGCCAAGTACAACCCTCTTCTTTTTCCTCCTTATTGCTGGAGCACAAGACAAATATTTTTTGTTTTTGTAGCATTAGCACACCACCATTAGTTTAATGACCAAGATTATATAGATATCAATAGCAGAAAAAACCCACAGATTTTTACATATTTAAATATATTTTGTAACAGTGCCATAACTCTAAACATTAGTTGCTACTTTAAATTATGGCTCAGATAAATGCAGGCATTAAAGATATCAAGGCATTTGGCAGTTCATGCACACTGCATGACCCTCTTATCCTCAAAGTCTATCCAACTGCCTCATCTGCCAGCTTCCTCCCACTGAGAAATGCTCTGTGGTATAATCCTGGAAATCTGTGTCTCCTGTTCAGTGGGAAAACATACACTTCACACGTTCCTCTCTCTTAGAGGGAAAAGGGTTCATACAAGTTTCTCTTCCTATTTTTCAAATTTATGGGAATAAGACAGCTATTTCAGTTGCTATCAAATCCAACATGATTTGAGACATCTGCAATTCACATAATTGAAAAGCTCCTTCTCACTTCATGATACATTTTTATTACTAAGATATTATGTGTGAAATAGGCTAAAATTACATGTTGGACACAGGATCCCAGGTGGATACAAGAGGGAATGGAACATAAATTTCCAGCAAATAAGTCACTGTCATCAACTGATGCATCTGTAAGTCTAATCCCGAAATTTGCATACTGCCAAATTCTATAGCCTATGTATTATTTACTCAAGCACAGGAAGTTTGAGTAAGAAAGTATTTTACAGAGAGAAAACACATACATTTATTAAAAGGTCAATGGAAAAATAAAACTCATTTTACTTCCAGGCTAAAAACTTCCAGTAACTTTAACCATAACAGTTGAAAGGAAAATTACCCAAGCCTGAGAAAAATATTTCATATTTTCAAGAAATGGATGTTGCAAAACAAAACCATACTATCCACAACTAGATCATGTCATCCACTGATGAAGAATTATATTGAATTTCATATTTTATATATATATATATGTATGTACAAAGGTATCTTGAAGTGAGAAGGAGCTTTTCCATGATGTGAATTTCAGATGTCTCACTTATATCAGGGGTTCTGTGGTCACTGAGCTGTTGAGAGAAAGTGTCAATCAAATTGGAAAAGGAGGTAAATTTTGCTGGATTTGATAGGAACTGAACTAGCTGTCTTATTCCCATAAATTCGAAAAATAGGAAGAGAAACCTTTGTGAATCCTTTTCCCTCTAAGAGAGAGGAACGTGTGAAGTGTCTGTTTTCCCACTGAAGAGAAGACACAGATTTCCAGGATTATACCACAGAGCATTTCTCAGTAGGGGAAGCTGGCAGATGAGGCAGCTGGATAGACTTTGAGGATAAGAGGGTCATGCAGTGTGCAGGAACTGCCAAATGCCTTGATATCTTTAATGCCTGCATTTATCTGATCTGTAATTTAAAGCAGCTACTAATGTTTAGAGTTAAGGCACCGTTACAAAATATATTTAAATATGCAAAAATCTGTGTTTTTTTTCTGCTATTGATATCTATACAGTCTTGGTCATTAAACTAATGGTGGTTTGCTAGTGCTACCAAAAAAAAATATTTGTCTTGTGCTGCAGCAATAAGGAGGAAAAAAGAAGAGGGTTGTACTTTGCAGTTAATGGAAGAGATAGATCCATGTTGATGCCTAAAACTCAGGGAGGAAAAAAAACTCCGAGGCAACTTAATATGGAGGTAATGTAGAAAAAAGGATTTAATGATGTCTCTAAGGCAATGCGGTTACAAGACGCGCGTGCCCTCTCCGATCCAGTGTTACAATTTTTATAGTATTGTCTGTCCAATCCCTGATTTTATCCATCCCCCGCCCTTCACCCTGGTCCACCCCCAGCCCAACTCTTGGGAATTAGGTTTGGGCTCGTCCTGGGACCCTTTACTTCATCACTTCGGTCTTCCTCGGAGAACAGAGCGCACACAGTCACACAGTTCTTGACTGTATCTGGAGGTTTCAGGCTAGGGAACAAATGTTCTTAAACAGTAGAAGGCCTACTTAGGAGAGACACTAAACATGCTTAAATGGAATTCAAGGTGTAGTTGATATGGGGAGCATGGTATGGGGTAAGAGGGTTGGGGAATGTGTATCTACTGTGCTAAGGGTAAGGGAATAAATACAACTGCTTCTAAAATCTACATTTTCTACGTAACTACTTCTAAAACTTATAAAAATTAGAAAAATCAAAAACCTTAAGGCGAAAATGTCAAGAACATGGACTGAATTAACAGTAATTTCTGGAATGAAATTAATTTTAGTAATTTCTATAACGATCATTGTCTTTTTGTTGTTAACCTTTTTTTCACTCAATATTCTGAGGAATAATGAATGAAAGTGGGAAGAAAACAATGCTGTTACTATGAGGCTGGTTTTCTGCCCCCTCCTCAGCACAAGAAAAAATACCTGTCTAAATGATTTGGTGTTAGCAACAAGTCCTAAAGTGCTGCAGATAAAGATCTAGTTGTCTGTGCTCTCTCTTTTCAAATTGTAGATATTACAGTGTGCAAAGAGGGCTCTGTTGGAGTCTGTCTTTACTCCCTGAGCCTTTTTTTTCACAGGGACAGATGGATGGAGAAGATGCAGCAGAATAAATATGTGCAGGTAGAGATCCTTTTTCCATTTCGTGATTTGAGCTGATATGACATTATGAATGTGGGTGCTTCTGACCATGGCAGTTACGATGCCATTATAGTGATGCTTTAGTGATCTTTAAAATTCTGCTCTCTTAATTGAACTGATCTCAAGAACATTCTCTTGCTTTCTGGAAAAATAACTGACACTGCAAAAAAAATGTCTTATTGTTGCTTGTCCCACAGGACACTTAGGGTTTTATTTCTTTTAAAGCCACTTTTAGTTGTTTCCTTTCCTGATGGTACCTATCAAGCAAAGTGTTTGATCACTGTTTGTGTGTTTGCCTGCATTAGGATGGCCTGGCTTTTAAGGACAGCATAGTTCCTTCAGTAGAATTCTTCCAGCAAAACCCAGAGCAACTCTCTTATCATCAGAAAAGATTCACATCCTACTCAATAAAGAAGAAAAAAACTTTAGAGAGTAATGGATTCTGTTAATGTAACTAAGAGAAATACTCACCATCAGGTCTTGCCATTAATGTGTTTCTGTTATTGTCCAATATCTGTTGCTAGCAGGCTTTATACATTTATTTAAATAAATACAAGCAATTTCAGATCTGAGGATAAGTGTTGTGGGGTTTATTTTGCTCAAAAAAGGCTTGCATTTTTCAATCGAAAATATGGCATAGTGTGATACTAAATGTATTTTGGGCTCCGATCTTGTATAAGAAATAATATATTTGATTTTCAGATTTTTTCTGTAAAAGGTATAATG